CGTTTGACATATCGCGATATGCGGGCTTCATGTCGCGACATGAGCGCGGGGGCGTTTGTCATATCGCGATATGCAGTCTTCATGTCGCGACATGGGGCGGAGGCGTTTTGACGGGACAATGTCATATCGCGATATGTGGATTTCATGTCGCGATAGTGACGTGCCAGTCGCAATGGGTATCGCGATGTGATCGTGATGCGCGCACTCCTTTCGTGACATGCTGTCGGAGTCGTGAACGCGCTGTGGGTGCCATGACATTCTTTGTCTACTATTCAGTTTTGACCTCAGTGCGACTTCTCTTAGATTGATCAGTAATTGGAAACCAATGGATGTGTTACTGTATATCCAGCGTGCTCACACAGCACACACGGTTAACCGGGGCTACAGTATTTGGACCAAGAAGAACATCCATCACCTGTGTATCTACATGTTCTCGGAACTTCCGCTGTGGCGCTGTACCCAATCAGAGTGTCGATTCGCACTCTTCACCCAATCGCGGCCCGAGCTGTTCGGGGTTTAGCCAATCACGGGTCTGGGAGCTGTGCTTGAGCAGCGCCAGGTGGACCGGCTTGTTGACAATCTATTTTTAAAATGCTTTACTTATTTGCACAATTACTACATCGGCTTATTTTTTTAACGTCTTTATTACTACATTCAAAATGTCCCGTACTCTTCGAAATAAATACATTTTTATTTGCAATATAACTGTTTCCGCTGCTTTCTGTAATGAATACATGGTATTTGAACAATTTTAATCGTATATTTAAGGTAGGAGAAACACCTTCTGCTTTGTACTTCAAAAATGAATAGAAATGTAAAGTCTATGATTATATTATTATGCTCGTGCTTTCAGTTTTGTTTTTTATTGCTGAATTACATCGATCTTTGAACTAATACCTAAAAATGTGAATATGGGTTCTCGTGTTGTACCAGCGGTAATGTGGAAACTGGTGTCTCACCAATGGAAGGATTACACAAGCAATACATTTTCGAGAACATTGTTAAAAATTAAAAGAAAACACCCAACCCAATTAACTAACATCGTAACTCCATCCTAAATGTAAGACTGTTTATTCGTGTAAAGGCTGCAAAGTCTGGGGTCAACTGATCATAAGATCACAACTGAAAGATCTGGTCGTCGTGACTTTACTGTTTTGTACGTCTTCAGAGTGACGTCACAGCCAGGAAAAGAAGGCGCTATATTGAAACATCCACCCCACCCGACCAGACAGACTCGGAAAACAAATCGCCCCCATTGTTTTAATCACAATCAGTTCTAGTACCGAGTTTGTTGGTGTCTGTAAACGTCCCTGTAGATAGTCACGTGATTACCCGAAAAAAACCAAGGCGCTATATTTCGGAAAAGAAAGCAGCAACGCTACTTGCAGCGACACAAGCCGGCACAAACGCAGCACTAATGATTGCGGTGAGTTTTGTCGTTTGTGCTGTTCGACGGGCGGGTGGGCAACTTCATGGAGCAGGACAAGCAAACACGTCTGGGTCATTACACTGCAGACTGCAGAAGACTCGACTTCACCTGAGGATCTAACACAGGCGCCCATACCTGTGTCTTCAGAGGACAGGTGTGCCCTCACGCTGTATTCTACACCAAGGACTGCCGGGAATACAAAGATACAAGGACTGTGAGCTCATCGCTTCATGTCTGTGCATAAGACGCCTGTAAATACAAACACACGGATAATGACAGTTTATTAAATAATTCAGATATATGTTCACTTCTGCTTTGTGAAATAAAAAAATATGTTTCCAATATTGCCGCGGTCCGCAGGTGTGTGACGGTGGACTTTCCAGTGTTGCTTCTTGGATATGTTATATACTACCAGCGACAACCTTGTACGTAGTGCCCCTTAAAAAAACACCCTGGTTCTTTTTCAAGTTAACGAATGTGCTTTGCATAAAAAGTTAAACAGCGGTTTTGTTGTTCGTAAAGTTGCAGATTCAAGCCTTTTTGAACACGTGGCTCGACTGACTGGTGAATCTTTACACGTCCCTTGGTGCGCGTGTTTATTTAAGGAGACAGTGAGAAACCGATCACTTCATCAGATTTTTTAAAAAGTACACCGCTACGAAGTATTAAGACGTGCTCGTTAAAGCCTCTTGGTGAGAAGATGCAATTGTTTGCTAGTGTTCGCTTTTTGAGACTACACCCGCAACTCTTCTGATTAGTGTATGTGATTCTTGCTGACACAAACGCACAGAAGACACTGATGTTAAATGGACTACCGGACTGTATATAGGCTGGGAGACAGTCTCTTCCCTACGTGTGTGTGTGTTTAGTGAGTGTGCAGCGCTGTAGCCCCTGTCCTCGTGTGTGTACCTTTCCCGGTTCAAGTTCAAGTTAATAAATGTGTTCAGCCCTATTCCCTGAGTACCATGCCTGCTCCATTCTGTACCGAAACCCGAATTCGTTACAATATATATATATAAGGTTCCACTAATTCTGCTGTTTAATTATACCGCTCAAGGATTGCATTGCAAATTGGAGGGGTGCCCCTATGCTGGCATGACGGTCAGTTACAGCCCGGGTCACCCACTTTTGCACAGGCCCACTCAAAAATCAATTCCTGGCTATGCCCCTGCTCCAGGGGCAACGTATACATGTCTGACCCTGCGCTCTGACCCCAGCTTCTCTCCCTGTCTGTGTGTCTCATGCAAAGCAAGTTGGGTTACGCGATGAGACACATTTCTAATACAAGAAACTTTATATGGGCAATAAAGTGATCTCATAGCCTTTTACTTGCTGAATAGTTTTACCAGAAACATTATGGATACAAAAGATGGATAGCGACATCTCTTGGATTTCAAAAGAAACGTTCTGACTATCCGGCAATCTATCAGAAACACTAAAACCTTCAATGATGTTTTATAATTTGGGGAATTACCTGGGGTTCCGTGAGTCTGCGCTAGAACTAATGTATTTGTAACATTTTGCGCTGAGGCGAGTTTCATTTCGCTATTTATTATGCATTTACCTTGTGCTATTCATCAAATTCTTAAAATCCATGCAAACGCCAATTGAGAGTTATATATTATTCTATTATAGCACAATTATTTAGAATAGATAATTTCTATTTGACTTTATGCAGGAACATCGCATGCCTTTTCAACAATCTTCATGCAAACCCGTTCTTCCACATAACACCCAACTCAAACCACAACCACTCGGGCCGCAGCCAGCAGTTCAAAAGCGCAAGTAGAGAGGTGACGTCATGGCGCAGGGGACGGAGCAGCCAATGAGCGAGCAGCACAGCCTCGTGACTTCCTGTGTCAATTCGCCGTGTGTTGACACACCTAGACTGGACTGAAAGTTAAGGGAGAAGTTTCTGTGCTCCGGGGGTTTTTAGTATCTGGTGAAGGAGTGCATAAAAAAAAAAACAAAAGCGCAAGTTCCCTTAAAACATGGACAAGCTGCGTCGTGTCCTGAGTGGTCAGGAGGACGAGGAACAGGGGCTCACTGCACAGGTAGGAAATGACAACAGAAATGGTTGAAAGTTAGCTGATATCTGTCCAAGCGTGACAAGCCTGTATTTTAGTTCGCACTTCTATTTCTGGATTGTAAGGCTACTTATTTACACGACCTTTTATTCTTATTATTGACATTAGTAAGAATTACTGCGATTTTGTGACGGATGCACTTCTTTGCAGTTTTTTCCTGCTCTTGAAGTTATTGTAAATGTATATAATCACATTTGTTTTAGCATATTGCATGTTGTTGTTTAAAGACATTGGTCGTAACTGATCAAATGTTGTGAATTATTTCTTCTTCTTGAGCCACGCGGCATGATCGTTAGTTGAAAATTATCCATGCATCTGAGCTTTTGTCGATGCACACTAAGACGTGTGTGCAGGTCAAGCAATTCTGTTCAGCAATGTAAAGTTCTGCAGTAGTCATTTTACTTCCTGTTTCGTTTGCAGTGGCTGCTCTCGGTCAGGTTAATAGTAGTTTATCACTGTGATCTGCACCAGGCCTGTAGGTCTGAAGAGCTGTTATGAATGACATGATTCAGCACAAAAGCGATAAAAGACCCTGCGTTTCTTGGTAAACATTTTTTTCCCAGTGAGAGACTAGGCACGTTTTAGACTGGACGTAACTGTTGCTGTACAGGGTTTTTCTTCTCGTGCTATACAAAACATGAGTAGAGCACTTAAAAGCACATAGTGACACAGGGATCACACAGTTTAAGCGCATAGTGACATTAGGGTCAACAGTTCCCTGTTGGAAACCAATGATCTTTCATTTACATTGATGGAATTGGAGCTGCAAAACCTGGGCAGAACTCCCATCACTCTGCGAGGGAGTCCATGCGAGTGTTTTAGTAAAAGTTATTTTATTAACGCTTTTTAAAGCATGTACTCGAAAAGCTTTACAGAAAAAAAAGTTAAAAGAAACAGTTAAAACAAAATAAATGGCAACAAACACAGGAAATAAAAATAGCACAAAGAAATAGAAGGTTTTAGGGTGCAGTTGAAGATGCAAATGGGCAGACACAGACTAATTAAATACAAGCCTTCTAAATAAGAAGGTTTTGAGTCTGGATTCAAATGAATCTTTAAGATAAAATCACTTTATTAGCCCTTTATAATTTCTTGCATTAGGAATTCTTCTTTTCACATACCCCAGCTTGCTCTCCATGAGACAGACAGACAGAGAGAAGCTTGGGGTTAAAGCGCAGAGTCAGCCATTGTACAGCACCCCCGGAGCAGCTGGGGTTAAGGGCCTGGCTCAGGGGGCCAACGGAGTAGGATTCCTCTGCTGGCTGTGGGATTTGAACTGGCAACCTTCCAGCCACAGGTGCCACAGAGCCACCGCTCCTTTGGGGTGCAACAACAAAACAGTCCTGTAAACCCCCAGTAGGTAGATGGGCTTCGGGGACAGACGGGAGACCAGATTCAGATGAATGAAAGCTGCGTGGTGGGAAGTGGGAAGATAAAAAGTCAGACAGGTACGGAGGTGCCGAGCCAGGTAGAGGCTTGTAGGTGAGCATGAGGATTTTGATGTTGACACGAGACCTGATAGGAAGCCAGTGCAAGGACACCAGGATAGGAGTAATGTGATCACTTGCACTAGACGTGGTCAGGATTCTGGCTGCCGAATTCTGGACACGCTGAAGTTTGCTCAGAGTGGATTTAGATACCCTAGTGAGTGGGGCATTGCAATTGTCAATTACATAGAAGACAAATGACTTTGCTAGCTTTTTAGCTACAGTCAGAGACAACAAAGGACATAGTCTGGTGATATTTCTCATATGGAAGAATGATGGTTTTACAATATTTGGCACATGTGGGTTGGACAGTAAGCCTGGATCAAATATAACTCACAAGTTCTTTAGATTGAAATTCAATTACAGTACTATCTGTAGGTAATGTGCAAATAGGGTTACCGAGAAGCATGACTTCAGGCAGAGAAAATCAATGAAAAACTGTGATGAAAGTTTGTATATTGTCTTTCCAACGTGTATGTGAGGAATGTACTTCAAAATGAGCATGCTTTATCAATAATACCCTTTGCAAACATCAGGATCTTGTCATCTCAATAACCCTGAGTGCTTCCTGTTTAATCCTGCCTGTTGTGTTAACTGTGTTTGCATTGCTACTTTTTACACGCTTGCGACAGGAGCAGATGGATCCCAGAAGGTAAGATGTTCAACTCGCGTAGTCCTGCAAACACCAAAGTGGTTTCTGAAACATTTATCCTGGTTTTGTGTTGTACAAACAAAAATTGGAACAACTGGCTTTTTCTTGTATCCATTTTGCCCTTTTTTGTTGCAGTAATGGTTACAATACCATGAAAATGGTATTGTAACCTTAGGTCTTAAGAGAGAGCAACAAGACTAGTTTCCTAGTTCCTGGGGTTTTTCAAATATTTGAACAGTTTAAAGGAGCTAAATCTTTTCTGTAGACAGCAAAGGCGTTTGAGAGGAGATTTGACTCAAGCTGATCAAATCATAAGCCCAGGGGCCTATTTCTGACTCGGTAATGAAAGATGACACAAGATTACAATTGAATATGAAGAAAATATTCTCGGCCTGTGCCAGAGGTAGAAAATCTCTGTCCGTGGATAGAATCTCAGAAAATAAAAACACCCTTCTTTACTGTTTCCTGGTCCATCACTCATTCTCCATGTTCTTTCCCTCAGATACAGCACACAGCATGAAGTCTGCTCTCTTTCCCAGATAGCTGACATCAGCCGCAGGAAGCTTTGTGCTTCCTGTTTATATATATATATAGTCAGCTGACCAAACACTATTGCCTGATTGGTCAGGTGACATCATGCATAGGGTCTCTTTGGAATGTAGTGGGAGCAAGACAGGCTGTCATGCTCTGGAATGCCACATGAAAAAAGTGTTCATGAAATGATGCCTTGAGCAGTATTGCGTTGATATGACACAGTGCAGTTGGTTGCCCTACAACCAATTTAGTTGTGGGAAAACAGCTCAAGGCCTGTGTAAGTGTAGGTAGTGATATAATTTTAGAGTTTAAAACCTGAGATGAATGCAGTAGGTCTTAGGAAGGAAATCACTATTGTCAAGCATATAGAAAGGAAAAAACAATAAAAAGCTTCTCCTCTTGAATGATTGCTTCACATTTCCCCCAGTATCTTATTCAAGACCCTGAGGAGTTTTTCTGAAATTGGTACTGATGACCAATAGAAGTGGTCAACAACAAAAATCCAAAACTGATGGTGAGATTCTCAGATTAGATTCTCAGCAATCCAGCTAATGATACTGTTGGAAGCCCAGTTGTTAAGATGTTTATGGTACCTGTACCAGTCCATTTTACACCACCATCTTCATGAAGTGTTTTCTCCATATAACTTAATATAGATAGGCTACCTGTTTATTTTCCAGTGCCAGTGTTTATCGATACACAGTATATTCCATGTCTTTTTAACAGGTGTCTTTCACTCTTGGTAAAACAAGTGCATACAGTTATATAATGTTGGTATGTGAGCAGACTATTGGGTGGGGTTATTTTAAAAAATGTCAGGTAATGGGAGTGGGCAGAGATTTGGGTATTCAGCGATTTATCATGCGCTTTTTAACTTGTATAATGGCTCCACTGAGCTCTCCGGATGTACGTGAGGTAAAGTTAAGTATGAGAAGTGTTTCTGCTGATGTTCATAATTGTTCTTTGTTTTTTCTCAAGGTTTTGGATGCCGGTACACTAAGCTTTAGTACCAGAGTGAAGTGGTTTGTGATTTGCTTTGCTGCTGGGGTTTTGTGTTCCATTCTTGTGAGTAAACTTTTTTTTTTAAACTGTTGTTCACTGTTAGTTTACCAATACTTAAAAAAAATATTTAAAAAAAGATACCAGCTTTGACAGCATGAGGGGGTAACCTTTCCTAGACTCCCACAGCCATTTGTGTAAAGACTTTCTATCTGTTCTCATTCTCAAATCTACTTCCTCTTATTCTCCACTTCTCTGTTCTTGCATCCTCTGGTTTGCATTTTGAAAACAGGCAGATCTTAACAAGCAGTATTTATAATGCTCTTCCATTAGTGCTTAACACGACTATGCATTAGATGGGGATTGGTAATACCTTTGAATGCCACTGTATGAGCAGGCAAAATGTTCTCATTTTTAAATAAAAGTCTTAATAATTTATAAACTTGCACCTTACCCATAGCCATAGGTTTTCTGTAAGTGCAGACGTGGCTTTTTCATGTGCTCATCTAAATCTTCACAAGTCTATAAATATGTAGAGACTGTAAAACAAACAAATTAGTTTGGAGCTGTCTAACTGATTATACTTTGTATGTTTAAGCAATTTATTTAAAAAGAATCAAGATAGTAATGTAAATGGATATGGAGGCCTGTTTTAAAAATATCAGAAGTTTGAAAGCTGTAGTAAAGGAAAACCTTTAGTTAGATTTTTGTGTGGTGGGCTCTTCTTTATACCTGTAGAGCTGCATCCTTCAAACCTGCGGGGCTAATCAGTAGAGCTGATTCTGTATGATCATATTCTGTGTCTCCTTCCAAGATCTGATTTTCTCACCCTTCATTCATCTGTCAGTGTTTGGAATAGAACTTACATTTATTCTGTAATGCAGGATATTTTTCTTTGTTGCTTCTGTAAAGACAAGGTGGAACATGCTGATGAGCAGCTCTGAGATGTGACCGTGTGTATTGGGAATCTGAAGTTCCTTCCATTCACTTTTTTTTTGGGGGGGGGAGCACGTGATGCACTTTTCAGAGTATATACCTCAGATCAGTATAGAATTTGCACTGGGCTTCCACAAGATGGAGCAGCAGGCCTGTTCTCGACCTGTTACTGGATATGTTTATTCATCACACTTGCTGGGTGGCACATGTGTGCGTATATTACCAGAACAAGGCTGATGTAATGCTGGCCTTTGAGATAGTGACTCACAACCATAACGCGGTGTTCTGAAAATATCTTTACTCTCCTCTAAGGATTTTGTGTTTTGTTCGATTTCTTGTTTATTTTTAAATGATAAAAACCATCAACTTAAATAGAAATATTAAAAAAACATGCGTGTCATTGGCAGAAACAAGCCTTAGGGGCTGTAGTATGGCTGCATCTTAAACTTACATTTCCTTCTATAAAATACGAAACACAGCGACTGTACTATACTTTGTACAGCAAGAGTTGCTTAATGCACACCTTTGCATAAATTTACTAGATTGAAGTAGCAGTTGGTCTACACTTCCAGAAATGATTTATTTCAAGACAAAAAGAAAGTTATGGATAATAAAGATCTGCACTGTATTGTGTATAATTAGGTTTCTTGGGTTTTTCTTGACCTTTGGGACTCTTAACCTTTAGTTCACTTGTATTCCTCCAGGCATCATTTGCACTCTGCGCATTAATTGCATAAATTAACTGACAGTGGTTAAATCGAACAGAAGAATATTGCAAGTGAAAAAACATGTATAGCATAAAATTGATGTGCTCTGAATTCCATTTTGCTATCGTTTTGCTTTGTGCTTTTTTTAATGCTGCACTCTTTATTCTGGTATTTTTCAGCGCCTGAAGCAAAACAAAACTGTTGTTGACACATTATATTCAAGTTCCTGATTATCATTTTAATTTAGAGCTGCATTGTCTGTGATACTGTTGTGAAAAAAGAGGTCTGAATAAGTGTCAATATCCATCTACATGACAGTTAATTGACGTGATTAAATATGTATTGGGTACCACAATGGGATGATTGTTTAGTATCGCAGCTGAACTGAATGATAACTGCCGAAAGCCAGGTCAGAAAATTAGTCAAGAAAAATGCCATGCCCTATATATACATATAATGTATTGGTCTTATTTATTTTTCAATATGAGTACACTTCTCTCTATTTTTTCTTTTAGATTTTATATTTGTTGTTCTTGTGTTTAAGGGGACAGCATTGCTTTTTCTACCAAAAGGAGTTCAGCTCTTTGCAGTTTTCTACACATTAGGGAATTTTGCTGCTTTGTTCAGGTAAGATCTGCATTATGTTTTAATTTAAATAAAACTTTTGTGAAATATTGTACTGTAAATAGATGCAGACATTCTACTGCAGAATTCTTTGAAAAAATATGCTGAGTCGATAAAATGTCTTTATTGGAAGACTGCAGCCAATGATGTAAATTAGAGAGGACAAGAACAGATACTTGTGCAGATAAAGGGGCGTTTCTCTGTGTGGTTCAAGATTAGCATTTGTGTCAACGGTCTCTCGTTCAACCCCGCCATGGATTTTGGAGCCAGAAAGGAGCTGCACCTTATTCATTGGCCTATTGAAGAGTTTTTATCATATGAATAGCCCATGCATTTTTTTTAAATCATTACACATAAAATGTGTCATTTCATCTGTTTTGACCCTTAAATGTATTTAGCAACATAACATGCTTTCCATCCAACTCATTCTGTTCTGTCAATCAACACTGCTGGGTGACCAATTAACCTCTTACTTTCCTGCACATTCAGGAAAAAAGAAACTGTAGCAGAGCTAAAGCTCTATTATTAATACAGTGTGTGCTATTTAGATCAACACAGTCTTTGTTACCTTGGGTATTTTGTGTATGAAAACAAACTGTAGGTTCCCTGGTGTGTTTATACTCTGCACCTCTACACTGATGACTTCATCTTGTGTGTACAGATCTTTAATCATACTGGGTTGGTCCCTGTAACATGAGAGTGTTGTGACATGCAGTATAGTAGTGTACTTATAATTTGCATTCTGAAGCTGACAAAAGGCAAACACCTCTTAACTAAAGCCCTGTGTTCCTGGTGTAAAAGACTATGATACATCATACTGTACGTATATTGTGTAATGAATATGGATTTTGAGGACAAATTCTCAGTATCCAGCGCTTTTAAGTGAAAAAAGCTTAGTTGTTTCAAGCTGTCACTTATTTTTAAAGTAATTAAGGTAAGGTTTTGTGGCATAGATGTAGAAATAAACCAGGTGAATGGAGAATGTCCTGTGTTCCCACAGCAAAGGTGCTCATTTGGCAAAGACCAAAAACTAAGCATTTAAAAAGTGGCTTTAAAATACACCGGCATTGCGAACTTACACTCCAGTCCAATAGGTGACAGCGGACAGCCTCCTGTCAACAGCAATAATTTACAAGATAGGTTGTCATCTCAGTGTGTGTAAAAATATGAGGAGACAGTTATTAATCCATAATAATTATTCGTGTATTGCCTATTATGTCAAGGGAATTTATCTTCCAGGACTCTGATGTTATCTTTAAAGTACAAAGTTTAAAGTATATTATCAGATCAAATCCAATGATCTTTTTTCTTAGGATTGCCAGAAAGACTGATGGAGTAATTATCTCAGGGTAATAAAAAAATGGAACCTTTTGTTTTTTGTTAGAAAAGCTTGAGTGCTGATGCACAAAAACGTCTTAAAGGCATTTGAACGATTATATGGGGAAAGTGTAGATTAGCAGTAAAGGCTCTGGACTCTTCACTGGAAAGTTGTGGGTTCGAAACCATGCTGTGTTGTACCATGGTGAAAGGTACTATATCATCATTGCTAGGAGTAACCCTCTGATAAACAGGCACCCTATCCAGGCCAGAGCCCTGCACACTCGATATTCTTCATTCTCATGAGGCTTGATGAAAGTAAATATTTTTGTGGTGGTTTCAACAAGCAGTCAGTATTTTCTGATGTCAGTCATCTTCATCTGCAGTACTTTTATGAGTTACTGCCTGATGAAAGTGAAAGCAGCAGTACTGCAGAAGAACATGTTACACAAATGTAAAATGCATTCCTATAATGTTCCTATAATTCCCAATGGGAGAAATAAGAGTACCAGTGGCAAGCTGTTTGAGAGAACAAGATGCATCTTTTGTGTGAAAAGGTTTGCTGGACTGAAAAGAGAATGTTTCACACACTAGCAGATTAATTTTCAGATGCATATATTCCAATGTTTAATTTAATTTCAGTGTCATTAATTTCTGGTATCCTCACCCTACCTTTCTAAGCAGCCCTAGAATAATTCCCACTCAGTTTGACTATGTTAACACACTTAGAAGAAAATGTAACTATATGGAAGTTAAAATATTAACCATATTATAGTAAACAGATATTGAGGGGGATTTCTGGGAATTTGTAGAATGGAACTACTGTGCTTTCACAGGACATTAAGCATTAGTCATTCTGCCCATCATTGATGGTTAACTTTGCTCTTTTGCATTGTTGTCTTGGTGCTGAACCAGTGATGTCATGGTCTTGGTAACCAGCCTTGCCTTGCCCTTAGGACTGTTTGTAAGGTTTGTTAGGTCTGTCTGTTAAGTTGTCATAATCAATACCTCCACTGCCTGGCAGCTGTTAATATTACACACGTCTTTATTGCATTTTTGAAAATTTTAGGCATTAAATCTGAACCGAATCCATTGGCATAGTTTCTATCTGTAAATTCATGTGAGAAATGACAACTGTCTTATGTGGTAATATTTTACTGAAAAGATACAGGTTTAATCTGCTTTTCTTTCTACATAAATCCAGTTCTCTTAATTGTGATAGTAGGTTCATTCATTGTTGGTAGCTCCTATAAGGACAGCTGTTGCAAGTAAAATAACTGCAATTGTCCGTTTCATTTCTGTCAAATAAGTAACTTGAAACATTTAATGAGTTTAACCCCCACCAAAATGTTACTTCTGTTGAGGTTACAGGAATGCTGAATGCAGACTAAGAGAAGAGCCATTGTAGGAAGGCAATATGGAGTGGAATAAGAACTCCAGTACAAGAGTACATGTGGCACCTTGAGTCATTATCACTGTTCGTTGGAGTGTTGCGTGCTTTTGTGGCATTTGTAGTTGTAGGTATGTACCACAAAATTAGGATGATTTGAAGACGTGCTTTTTGTTCCATTTTACACTAACCAGGTATGTGTTATTTTTTAATGTATGCACCCAAGAATCTTCAGGTGTCTTTAAAGTCTTGTCTCTCCCCATCATGGAGAACAAAGAAATGCATACAGGCTCTTCATCCCACCCATCCATCAAACCATTCGTGTTTTGGAGGAGGTGCAGTGCCTACTGGACGAGAGGCATGTCCCTCAGTGACGCTTGAGGGCGCCGCAGGTTCCACAGTTGCCTGGCCAGCAAATCCCAGCATTCCCCTGGGTGCACGGAGCCACCTGGGATTCCTGGTCAAAGCCAGTGACCTGTTCCAGGCTGTGCAGTAGTACTAATATTTTAAAAATAATTCCTTCCCATTTGTGCAGCAAGTGGTAGTGTGTGCTTTTGGTGCCCAGTTAATCACTTTGCAGGTCATTACACATTAATATTATGAATTGAATTTATGCAAATAGCCATTCTAAGATACAAAGCCGAATTCTGACTCGGAAACCTATCTCATGGGCTCAGACCAAAACCTGATCTGCAGAGAAGCCTTTTTCTCTTCCACAAAACAGACTTGATTTGCACCCTGTGCTCTCAGCTGGAGATGAGAATACAGATGAAAAGTACTGGAAGACACATTGTTTGACACAGGAATCCCAAAGGACTGGCATCAAAGTCTGGAAATGGATATTACATGATTTCATTCATACTCTCGAATGTTTACTAGGCTGCACATACTCATCCACTCAGGTAGATTAGTTTTGTATGCTGTCCAAGTGAATAGATAGATCATGTCCACTTAAACCATGTTGTGTAAGAGCTCTGAACTTTATGTGCATATAGTGTAATAACCATTTTATATTTTACTCTTCAGCTTTCATGTTTCACTCTAAGAGCTCAGTTCTTGTATTTTTAAAATTCTTGAAATAATTGACCAGATATAACATCAGTTTGCAGTGGTACTCCAGCGGACTTTTTAATAAATTTCCGTTTTCTCTCGTGAACACACGTTTTCATTTCAAGTTACTTAGCTGCGCTTCTAAATTTATTTAATTTTTTCAGGTGTCTTTTTATAATTGATTTTCTCCGCTACACTACAGAGCAACTGAGCCCGAATGTCTTCAGTGACAAGTATCTATTTAAAGTTTTTTTTTCCATTAAGATCTTTTTTTTTTATTTTACCACATGTTCTGTTCTTAATTTCTTTTTATGACGTCTCCTATAATACGTTTTGCTTTGCGCCTTTTTCTGTTTGCTGAAAACAGTATTTGGAAGAGTGACCCATTTCAAACTTGAGACGATAATGCAAAGTGCTTGCAAAGCTATTTTTATGTAAGTGCACAGGGATGCAGCTTCAGTGGAGGCATAAGAAAAGAGACTTGTGTACAGACTAGATTTCCCAGTAGTACTTGAGTAATACGCAGACACAACAGATAATTGGTTTCAGGGGTAATGAAACACTCTGCTGGGCCACATATCGAGCCTAGAGCATGCAATAAAGGGCTTAAGAAAGGAGAATTCTTCTTTTAATTTGCTAAGATTTCAGAACTGTTTCATTCCTAATATTCCATGTAATTGTCCTCTTACAACTCTAGCTTTCCAGTGTTTTTATTCACAGTGTAGAGGTGAATTTTGTCTACGTTCCACTGTCCATTTTCATCTTTAGGCTGATCTATGTATGTATCAGCTGTAGGCATATTAAGATGCATCATCTGTTTGGAACAAGAGGTTTGTAAATTTCATAACATCTTAGAATCGTTATGGGTTGCCTTGGTAGAGAAGTACATATTGTGCCTATCAGTCAGCAGCTGTTCTGGAAAATTAATGTTGCAGTATGGATAGTGTGCTTGGACACATAATTAAATATGTATTTAAATACTTGAACCTAAAGCATATGGTGAAGTGATATAATAAATCACTTGTGTTATTACTGAAAAAGAAAAGTGCAGTGCAAACACAGTTGCCTTTCAGAGCTGATAAGTTTCAGTCTGCTTACGTATGTGTCATTGGGATGACTGGCACGACAGGGCAGTAGCTTTTGTCTCTGACCTGTGGAAAAATGTGATCCTTTTTCTGAAAGCATTGTTATGTGCATGATTAGTACTGAATGGCAATTTTATGTTGTGCGGTATTTGAAATCTTTGAAAATAAAACAAACAGTATTGGGCTGCAGACATAGAGAACCTGAATATAGCTGGCCTGTAATGCAAAGGTTGAGATACTTTGATAGTTTGTGTTAAAGCCAACGTTGTACAAATGGCAGGAAGGTCTGGAGGATTTTCTTATATATAATCTGTATTTGGATTTAAAGTTTTGATATTATTTTGTAGTTATTTTAAATTTCAAAATGTAATAGCATAGTGATACTGCTTTTACATTCAAATTTGTTTTATGCTTATTAGCTTGTTGCAAGCAGGAAAAAACTTCACCTAAAGACTTTAGCAACACATTTTTATGCTAAACAATAGAACAATGTACATCTCCAAGTACTGGTATTTCTGAGTTTAGTTTAACAGCAGGTATTTAGGATTGTGTGATAAAATATGAATTAAAGTTTTCACTATGACAGTTATTATCAGTAGTATTCCTTTTGTGACTCTACAATTAAGCTTTTATAGATAATTAAGCTTGAAGTTAGAAGTACAGTATACCAGTTAAAGGCCATATTTTCCCTGTAATTGAGCAGACTTGATATGTGCTTGATCAGTTGACAGGCCGTTCTCTCCACACATCAATCCAAACACCTGAGAACATTTGCAAAGCCCAGCCTTTGTTTCTAAAAACTTTCTGTAACATATTGTGGTCTTCTATAGCAGTTTGACCTAAAGTACTATATGAGACTATTAAAATAGACGAAATACAGTGTCTGTGATATTTGTTGGTTATCCTTAATGGATGTAACAGGCTGGCCATCCATGTGACCTGAATCTGGTTGTTTTGTACCTGTAGGAAAAGCTAAAAATGTAGTGTTTCAGGCTGCAGTAACTCTCTTACTGTTGAGTATTCTACAACCACAATCCACAAAGAAACATATTATATTGACTCTAACATACATAAAAATGTACTGAGGAATTTGTGCGCTTGAAGTGTGTAACTGAAATCGATTGAATGTGGTTTGAATTTCAAATGGTTAAGGGTTCATTTCCATAACAATAGTGGTTATCCTTTAAATTCTGAAGAAATCATAATAATCATGTACAATAGTTAGGTGGTTTCAAATCACCTGCTAATATGTTTTTCTGCAATGACAACTACCAGTGCTTTCTCTACCATAATTTTGTTTCTGTTATTAGTGGATGTATTTTAACTGTTTTTTTCTTCTATTTTATTTAGTACCTGCTTTCTCATGGGACCATTAAAACAGTTAAAACGAATGTTCGAGCCTACGAGATTGATTGCAACATGTGTGATGCTGGTAAATATTGTTATTAAAATGTGTATTTTGCTGTGATAAGTTAGTGGTTGGGGTAAAACCTGCTTTGAAATATGAGCTTAGTGATAATTAATGATTTGACATTACCTGACATCCAGGGGCCTATGATATTAAAGGCTTCTTACTGAAGAATGTCTTTCAACAGTTACATGCCTTTTTCTTTAGAAATTGGCAAAAGGCATTCAAAGAGCGGTTTAACTTTAATACACATAATAAGTAGGTTGAAATGTACAAATGAGCACACCCTTTGAAACCTGCTGGAGGGACTACCAGGTTGTTCAACTAGAGTCAGAGTGATCCTGGGTTATATCACTAGATGGCTAAATGGGACATTAAGAAGCAGTGCTGAACAACTGGCAGAGCATTACCAGAGAAGGGTGGGACTAGTCAGTCGGAGCTCTCTTATGCTTTCCCAAAAATTCCAACTCCTGTTATTTGTGAGGTGCCCACAGGCTCACATTGACATCATTTAGAGAGCTGCTCCAGTCAGCGCTAACACTCCTGTTGGGCGTTGGGGATCTTGCAGTATGTCAGATGATGAGCAGCTCAGGTGAGTTTAGGATGGGTTGCCAGAGAGCCAAGCCTTAAAGCAGTTTGTATGAGTACATTATAAAACAAAAATCATTGGTAGTTTTAATTTTAAAATTGTTGAATGGGTGACACAGTGGCGCGGTAGTTGGCATTGCTGCCTTGCAGCGCTGGGGGTCTGGGTTCAATTCCAGACCTGAGGTGCTGTCTGTGTGGAGTTTGTACGTCCTCCTTCTTGTGCGTTTCTCCAGGAGCTCCAGGTTAATTGTCTTCTGTGAAAGTGGGCCCTGGTGTGAGTGCCTGTGTCTGTGTGTGCCCAGCCATGGATGGGCGTCCACTCCAGGGCGTATCTCACCTCGTGCCCATTGCTTGCCAGGGATAGGCTCTGGCTCTCCTGTGACCCGGTACCCAATAAAGCAGTTAGAAATGGACAGATGGAAATGTAGCTAAAGTTAAAACTTTCCTTCCACTATATTTACACGTGTGCCTCAAAGGACTGTGTATGCAATCATCATTGCACTCATGGCATCCCCAAGGACTGGACTTCACTGATGCACAGTAAACGCTACGACAAGATTCAAGAGATTTGGGACCTGTTGTTGTCATAGTTTGTTCCAATTTGGGATTCTAAGTTATAAACACCAGCAATATATCTACAGTAAATGGTCCAATGATGTGGGTTTTAATTATGCTAAGCTATCACACTTTTGTCGGTGATGTTTTAAACCTTACACACGTATCCATTTAAAGGTTGGTTTCTTTTCTTTGTAAATGTTTTTTTATTGATTTATTGATATATAACATAAGCTGCATAAATAAAAAAATGTATTTATTCTTATTGTTTCTGTTTATTCCTCAGCTGTGCCTAATTTTGACATTGTGTGCTGTTTTCTGGGTAAGTGAACTTTATTATCCTTTTAAAACAGAATATTAATAAAATTATCATGCTTTTGCATTCTGTTAATTATGTGAAAATGCACATGCTTGGCTTTGTGTTGTTATTAGGGAAACTGGCAACCTAGAAAAAAAACGTAAAAGTACAAAATACTCACCATGTAATTGGGATGAGATTATTAGGAAAATCATTAGGGATTGTATCCCTGCTATTTTTCTTTGGCTTTAATGAACCATGAATCTTGTTTTAGAAATGTATGCTTTTTTTCCTCTAGTGGCACAAGAAGGGACTGGCAATTTTGTTTTGCATATTACAATTCCTGGCAATGACCTGGTAAGTTTTTTTTTCTTAAACCTTAAATCCATTAAGTACTTTATACAGACATTTTCCCAGGGGACCTCTGGGATTGAGATTTATTTTGGTATATTATATTTAGTTGAAACATTGCTTATGCTGTTTAATCGAAATATTGCAGGATGTTTTTGTACCAAGACAGGCAGCTATGAAAACTGTTAATATTTATATTTCTTCACAATGAAATATAAGTTGAAACTTTCCTAAAAAAAATACTATATTTTAAATTAAAAAATTATGTGAAGCAAGAAAAATGGTGTTTGCTTATATCTTTGTTAAGGCTGATCTTGATGTATAGTTATTACTTTTTTGAAGAACACCCACATTTCTTTTATACGTAATGTCAAGGTGTAGCTCTACTGTAAGGCTTTAACTGACTCCATTATTCTTTATCTAAACTGAAACAAGGCTTAGCAGAGACTAATGCTAAATCCTCTTTTCTGCTAAATGTCAGTTTAGAGTCTGAGTAAAATGGCTTTTTGGATTTTTAGTGCTTACACTTCATAGGGAATTTCATTGTTATTTATAATCACATACTTTATCATTTTTTTATTTAATAGCATTTTAATGTTTTCATTAAAATATGATGCCAAATTTAGTCAATATAAATTTAAACCTTAATCAGCTATTAATATTTTGGTGATCATACATGTCTTTGAAGCATTTTGCTTTTACTGAATAACGCGGTTGTATCCCTAAAAGTTGTTCAGTATGTTGATGCAAAACATTTCATGTTGTCTACTGATGCTTTATTGCTACAGAAAATCCTATCTAAAAATCTATAACATTGTTCATACAATTTACAGACTCATTCATTTTCTGTCCTTATATTTCTAAACATGGAGGGTGGATGAGTAATGAAATATGATAGTTAAAATGTGTACAATTTATTTTCAATTTCTTCAGAAGTCCTGGGTAATATTGATTGGTGATATTGTATGTTTGAATATAGAATTGTATTCATCCTGCAATTTGAGTTAAGCCATACAGCCTATATTTAGAGACGCTGAAATAATTATCAATTACAAGGATTGATGGAATGTGTTTTCTGTCAAGTCTGCGTCAGTATCCCAGTGAACAGATGGCCCTCACTCCACTGTTAAACTTGTTGTTGGTAAATAAGCTAAATGTGCCTGTGAAAAAGCTAATCCCATCTGCTGAAAACATCATGACCTTTTGGCCAGCCAAGGAAACAAAGAACAGGTACCAGCTGCTGTCTGGACAATCGTGAACATCCACTTTTTGTGTGGCAAATAGTATTTCATCAGGGACCTAAACAAGCTGGATTGTATCATTTAGTTTTAGCTTGTGTGCTCATCAAATTGAGTAAAGCATTTTTGTTCTTTTGTACAATCTATAGGCTGTTTAGTTATGGAAAAGCAAATCGTACTAGAAACTTCAGATTTCTAAGTTTTCAGTCACTGAGTCACGAACCACATCAGAGGACATTTAGTACGTATTTTGAAGTGGAAGAATAATGATTTTCTCATGGCACTTTTGTTTCCTTTTGTGTTGTCAATTTTGCAATTAAAATTTCCCGACATGTGCCTGCTGTTCCACATGCCGGCTGGCCTGGATTTATTGCCCATGTAATTGCAGTCTTTAAAAGTCAGTACTTCATTTCCTCCCTAAGCCACTCATCCAGCAGACTCCAGTTAGGTTCCACTGCAGTGTGACCAGCGCTGTTGTAGCAACCACCTGTGACGCATGAGAGAAGTTTGAGTAGCACACACGTGGGAGGGAGATGTTGGGTGAATGCTAAGTATCTATTGACCTGTGCTTCAGTAGACAGCAGGAAATACAGGAAACCCCATATTGCTGTAGTTTAAGAATATTATTAACAATGTTGGCTTTGTGTTTAATTACTTTACTAGCATGGGATTGCTTATTTTTTAATCCGGGAGTTCATTCATTCTAAAAAAGTTATAAATTACTTTTATATCTTGTTTATGGTGGATTTTTCACAAGCTATCAAAAGTGCATTTTAATTTATGTTTTGTTTGAATTCCTTTGACTGGAGCATGTACAGTACCTCGCCTGTCACTAGTCCCATTCACTTCCCCTTCTGAGCACATGTTGGTAAAATATTTAACAATATTTTGTATGGATTTCTAAAAGTTTTTCTTTTTTGGTGGTTTAAAAGACTAAAACTCGGCCTGCCCCATGAAACCATGCTTCTAAAAATCTGAATTGTGTACCAGAAATCCTGAAATTGTCCAGTTTTCTCAAAGACAGTTAAATGATTTGCTGCCTGAACATTGTGTGCTAATCTGCTTTGGAAGCAGAAGGAAGGCTTTGTTTCTACAGAGTAATTGCAATGTTTACAGATATGTCAGCAGAAACCCTCAACACGTGTTTTTAATTATTCTTTCAGGTATAGCATTTCATACATTCCTTTTGCCAGGTAAGTGTACCAGCTCTTTCATATGCATTTCTCAAACTTTGCTTTTATCACAAATTCAAATTCAAACCTGCTTATTGAAGAGAACAGGTGTTACTTTAAGCAGTAATAAAATTCATATAATGTTTTGCTTATAATATTTGAGATTTTGTGTTTCACACTTGTGTGCTGAATGGTGTGCAGTCCATTGTCCAGGTATTATTATATTTAAAATGCTTAGAAATGGGCCTCAGACAACTTACAGTTATTCTGTCAATATTTGTGTTTCAAGGCCTGCTGAAGGATATACTGATGAAACTAGCTGATTCTGTTATTCTTGTTGTGAAAATATGTTCTGGAACTAGATACAGCTCTGTTTTAAAATGTTCAAAGTAGTCATTTTACTTAACATGTATGCATACAATTATTTTTTTGTAGAAATATGGATCTGTTTCTTCAGACTCACTCATTAACAAATGCCTTTTGCATTACCTTATGCTTGTGTTATGCCAAAGTTATTATTATAGCAGGGCATTTATTTCATGTTGTCCCATCTGTTGTCTCTGAATGCTCTCAGTGTTCTGAATCTCTTATTCCCACAGACAATTTGCTAATCCAGATTAGAGAGCTGTGAAGCTTCTTATAGTGTGTTTTCCACAAGGAAACCATGACAGACAGGGAAAGAATAACACATACAGAGTACCTGTGTCTGTCATCAGTACAACAATCTGAATTTGACCTGGGACCTGCACATTTGACTGCTAAATATTACAGTTAATATGTAAAACAAATCTTATTAATGCAAGTCATGAGAGGAGAATTTAGGCTGGAACTCTTTCTGAATTTGATCTCATACCATAATATAGTGTTTTTCATTACAAGGGGTCTCAAAGTGTTTAACATACAGGAGGACCCGACCTCATCCACCTCTCAAGTACAGCCTACACCTGGGTGATGTGCAACAGCCAATACATAGTTTAGTTTTACATACACCAATTTCCGGTCATTTATTTCCGTTGTGACTTAATTTGTTATAGAACTGTTACATGAAATATTGTACTGCAGTTTTATCCGAAGAAAGCCTGTGATAAATAACTACTAACACATCGTTTGTACAATGATGCCTTGTACATTTAAATAGTACTTTGGTTATTTAGTGCATCCCAATGATTTAAATTACTTGTCATCTCCTTAATCCATTGATTACTCTTTTCCTGTGTTTTCAAACTTAATTCACATAGCACTTTCACCTCCTCCTCCTATGAGTTTGTCACATTGCTAATATTGAGGATTAGATGTAATTTCTGCTTAGCAACACACACGGACCTTCTCCTGTTACTGTGGTGACTGCAAATATTGCATCATCTTATAGTGCCTGCATACCATCAGCAAGGTTTTTACTCAGAGATAGCATTAAAATTTTATGAGACCACCAATGTAGAACATTTAAAAATAAAGAATGAATCTACAATGAATAATATCAATTTATTAAATTGTATTTTGACAATAAAGGTAGTCTTGAATATCTCTATGAAGTTTTAATTAAGTGCATAGTCAGGGTATTGAGGCATTAGAAGTACTTTGTTTTGCAACCTAAGAAACTTTTTGTGTTTTTGTTTTCTAGGGATGCTGTTTTAAAGTGCTTTACAACCTGCTTGAGTTAAAATGATAAGTGTGTTTTAAGACTGATCCTGGAAAGCAGAGAAAGTGTGAAAGAACATTATTCAGTAACATTATTCCTTGTACAGTAAATATGTATAAAAAAATCTTGTGTATTTGCCTAAGATTCAGTTAAAAAAACTGCATACATTTCCAAAGACAGCTTATATACGATTCTAATAGGTGATATTAGAAGCTAAATAAAACATCTAAAGTAATTCAGCTGTATGATATTCGCTGAAGAAGATGTTTTGAGATTTTGATATGAGAGTGCATGTGCTGAGTGAGAAAAGGCTTGAGTGTGAAGGCTAAATGAAAATATTTACATTTTCTGAAAGGTATTTGTTAATAAATGATTGTTTCCATCTATATTAGATTCACTCATAGAGATGATTTATAACTTCTTAACTTAACTTCTTCATATAAACCATTCATAATGAGTATAACAGTTTATCTGACATGCTAAAAGAGTTGTTTATATCTTAGCCAGCAATAATGAGTGGATATGCATTATTTCCTACCATTACTTGTATAGTAGGATGCTATGTTTTTATTTTCAACATATTTGGTTCCTCATAGAAAGTTTTGTTAATGGCTTTTTAAAACCCTTGTGCCCTTAGCTACAGCAGTGTATAAATGTGACAAATGGGCGTTACGTTTCTTTTTTGATCTGTATGATATCTTGGTGAAAAGAACCCTGGAACATTGAGCCAATTTTACTAATTTTGGGGGTTTTTGCTTTTTTTTTTTGCTGTAACGTAATCAATACAAAATTTACTCAAATCATTCATCCCACAATAATAAATGACATCCAACTACTTTGCTTTTGTCCAGTTATTGACTGCAACACTAATTCCCTTGTGACCCTTTATTGGATTAAGAGGTTGGAAAATAGGTGGATGGCTCTGATCCTCACCTTGCCTGCATCCTCAATGGAGAGTCATGGGCAGTTTCTGTATCAATGGAGAGATGATTCACTTCCAGTGAAGGACGTTGCAAATACATATGCAGTAGAGCAAGATACAGTAAATTACAAAGTATGTTGTTTTTTTGTCAGCCAAGGATGAAAATTGCTTGAACAACACGGTAGATTCAAATAACAATTTCTTTTTTCATTGAATGTTCCTATGGTTCATGCATTTTTTTTTTTAGAACAAAACACCAAAATAAGAACCTAGCATTAAGGACTCGAGAATCCTCAGCTGCCAAAGTGTTAGTCATGAAGCTCCCTTTTCAAAGTGCTCTGGCAGCATTTGTTGGTTTCTTTTTTTAGGAAGCAGGAATTACGTGTAACAGAGCTTCACTTAAATGGATTAAACTGTAGATAAAGATTCTGAGGATGATAAGAGACATCATTACCATGACAACATGTGAGCCTGGGGCTTCTGTTCTCCACAGAACAACATCATGCTGAGAACAGAGTGGCCAGAACTATTGTAGGACCCTCTGGCTTGTTTTTGCACTTTTTTTGTCTTAAATTAATATTTGTCATAAAGGGAAAATTTGCAGACTAAAGGGTAAAGTTTACGTAGAGATCATTCTGAATCGCCCACTTTCCTGCACAAACTGTTCCAGTCTGCATGATTCCCTAAGAGCTGCCAGTGGCTTATAATTAATCCCCCCCCCCGCCATTTCCCCTTCGATTTCATAAAAGCTCTCTTGGAGGGATTTTCTCTGGTTTTATAAAACCCCAATGAAAACAGTTCTTCATAAAAGAACTGGCAACCTTCTGTTTCAGGCTCTGAAACCGACTGGGGAATGAAAGCACAGCCCTGCTTGATGAAAAACACTGCAGATCATATACATTCTATAAATATGTGCAATACTGTACATTCTGTGCCATGCACACTCCAGGAGCCTGGGTGTGATGGATGTCATTTCATGAATGTAATGTTTTGAAGCATCATCAAAAACTAAAAACTTTGCATAGTATTTTTTTTCCTGTTGTGCATTCCATTTGATAAAAGAAAATGAAAATCTTACATTGTTTCATTTTATTCATGACCAGACTTGCAAGAATGAGTCTTGACTAATGACTTCTGCTTTGCTAAATGCTAAAACAGTCATAGCTGTATTCTGGTTCTCTGTCTTATTGATCATATGTGTGTGCCTGCAGTACAAAAAAAGAGCATGCATCTCTTTCCTGCCTTCTGGCAACTTCAGTGGATGAAGAAACTAGTTGTTACGTCCCAGTGCCGAAGACCGTGTGTTTCGGGTTTTCTTTTGTAGTCAGATTAGCTTTCCCTCACGTTCCTAGCCAGCTCCATTTTGTTTGTTATTTTCTTTTCTCTAGAGCCCACCTGCTTCCAAAAATTATCCTAAATGTTACACCCCTTTACCCCTAGACACTCTGGGTCGTAACAGTAGCACATTCACTTTTGTTAATAATTTTAAAGGAAATATGAATTGATGAATAGTAACAGTATTTCTGTCTACTGTAGGTAGCCTAGATCTAATGTGTAAACACTTGGATAAAACATCCATTCTTTTCAATCTACATTTTGTTGGATGTTTGCTTTGTTTGACAAGCAACACTGGATAAAAAATAGTTTTTGCCTTTTACAGGAGAGACATTGTATTTCAGACTGACCCTGATGTTATTTTGAATGCAACATGACAAGTAATATTGAAAATAAAAGAATACTTGGAATCAAAATGCCCAGTGAAGAATAATAATTTAGACTGAGAGATGGTCTTGGTAGTCGAGCAATTTACTGCTTCCAGTCTGACTGTCAGCTTATTATATATTATCCTCACACCTGAAGAAGGCTTAACAGCTGAAACACTGTTTTTTCTGTTTCTTAGGGGTAGTGGGAATAGGAGATCATATTGGTGGATGGATTTAATGGTTAAGCAAGAAAGACACACCACTTCCACATTCCAGTGGGCTAAGAATTCAGGAATCTTAAAACATTTCCTTACATTTATTAGCATTCTCAATATAAAATTAGGTTTTCATTTAAAATTAATAATACAACATATACAGTCAATTCTAAACAGTGTTGGGGAAAGTTACTTTTTAAAAAGTCATCTATTACAGTCAGAAGTGTGAGGATTTACTTCTAAAAATGACCATGATCATTCAAAACAGTTGATCTGTGTAGTGTACAGTTTCTATGTAAAATAATGCGTTGCCTCCTAAAAACAATTTGAAACTGTGAGCTTCAATTCTCAACATCTTTAAATGCCATTTCCAAAAAAACAGTTTTTTTTTTTACTTTAGAGTCGCCTTTGAAATCATGCCAATAGCTTTAGCCAATAGCTGCAATAGCTTTTTCATGTTTAATCATGTCTGATGAAATGCTCTTAAATATGTAAAGTGATTTTCCCCCAGTCTCTCTTAAAATGTGAATGTGTTGTGCTCTGTACCCTATCAAAGTGCAGCTAAAATCAGACTGTACTCTTCTCCCTGGATTACAAAGAACTTTATAGCCTTCTGCTGAAAAGAATAAATTCCTGGACTGTGACGAAGCATTGTGCAGTACCTGGCATCTCAAACATGTTTCAAGACTCCAGTTTGACCACGCCTTCTGAGCCGGGTTATAAAAGCAGAGAGCAGACGCACGCTTCTCAGCATAACAGGTTACAGACAATGGGATTTGAGTCAAGTGCTTATTTTTATTGACGATGAGTCGGCAGCTACAGTTCTTTTTCTACGTTTCAATCGACATTTTTTTACGCAGAGTTCCTGCCATATTTAATTTCATTCTGTTGAGTATTTTTCTGAGAGAAAAAAAATGCCTTTTCCACCGATCAATCTGCACCAGCGCATGAGTTCTCCAGGGAAGGAGTTGTTCAGGAAGAAGAGGTCCAACGTCGTGCCTCCACAGTCTCTGCACGGTAAAGCACGGGACGAGAAAGAGGCGGAAAAGGAAAGGTTTTCCAGCTCCTGGCCATCAGCAAACCTGAAAGAGCTGGGTGTCCATCCTCAACCGAGGAGCAATCGTCAGACGCCCAGAGCGCCCGGAAACCTGGGAGTGGAGTGCAAGACCTCCTGGCTGACGTTGCCCAAACCCCTAGCGAGCTCCTGCGACAGCATGCCAGTCTCAAGCTCGGGGGAGTCTGCAATTCGGAAAAGCAGCAAAAATTCCTCCCGAAGCTCTCTCGTGAAGGACGGAGTCGAAGAAGAAATTCATTTCTCCCTGAGCCTCACCCCAGAAGCAATCCTGGTCATCCAGAAGCGCAACCTGGAAAAGCAGCTCTTGGCGAAGCAGCAGAAATGCGCCGTGCCTTTTGTGTCCTCAGACTCGCGGCACAGGCGGCCGCTTCCTAGCAAAAGAGCGCCGGGCGCTAAAAGTACCGCAGCTGTCGCCAAATGGGATAGCCACAATGACATCAGGACGCTTGTTAAAGTGTCCCTGTTGAATGATCAATATAAATACGACGACGTGGAGTATGAGGAAGAAGACTGTGATGTCGATGAGACTGTTGTGAGGAAATGTAAAGAGTGGCTGGAAGGAGTTGAAAATGCAGCTGCTTTGGGGAAAGTGGACAAATTGGCGACGTTGCCGCATTTGAATAGCTGCTAACAACAGAAAGCACTCACTGACGCAGTGATTTTCTGTTCAGAAAACTGTTACTAACCTAGAGGTTTTGACGGCGTGGCGTGTGCAGGCTAAACAAACAGATCTAAAGGCACCTCACAAAGCAGCCAGTTGTCACCGCGCGGTATTTAATTCTGATGTGTGAGACCTATTGAGGTTTAATTTCTATAACAGAACGAGTCCAGCTGTAAAATACATTTTGAAAGCAGCAGCTTGAAAGCAGGTCTTTTGACTGGAATTATGAAAATGCGTAAAATAAAAAACCCTTTCATTGTCTTAATACCCGTATGCGTCTGCGCAAAATATTCAATATGTTGTTCAGCGTAGCAGAGAACAAAAGCCAACAGAACATTAAGCTTAGACGTGCACTCAGGCGACATTTTCCAGTTTGATTTGGCAATCCTGCATAAAGGACTTTCAATGTTACAAGGGGTGCCGAGAACAGATGTCATTGTTTAGTTAAAACGTTGTATATACTGTAAATAGCGATGTTTTGTACAATATATTTATTGTTAATAATTGTTTTCACACGTGTAAATTCATTTTTTTCTCAGTTTGTAAACTGTCCAAAATAAAACGAAAAGTGTCTTCATATTTTGAAATCTTAAACCATTTTAATGGGAGCGGGGTGGGGAATCTGAGTCAATGTTACTGGATCCTTCTGTAGAATTAGAACTGTATCAGAACAAGAGCTCGTTAACAATGGCCAAACAAACACTGTTCGGGGATTGTGCGCAGTGTCCCCACGGTTTTTTTTTTGGTAGTCGATTGATTGTTAAACAACACGATCGTGAACGTTTTAGCGTTTCTTTGTCTTTCTCTTTGTGGTACATTTTCTAGATTGGGCGTACTGCCAGACACAAGCGTTAAAAAAAACGTTCTCTCTTCAATTGGGTTACTGAGATGATCGTTAACATTTGTATGAAGAAAAAAAAACATTTTGCATGCAAATCCCCTCAGGTATCGGGAAATGCACAAAAGGTCCTTGTAACTATAGCCCTTCACGTGCCAATCCCATAAAACGAATTCCTGCTCCCCTGGTCAGTATTTCTTTTTGCATATACTGTAGTTTTCTTTCCTTGTGGATCCTATTGGTAGCAGAAGCCTTACAAGAAAGGCACAGAGCTGAACTGAATAGAAGCAGTATAGCTGAACGGGTTATTGCAGATGTACTAATTGTTTATTTTACATGGCAACTGCTGTCTATGAATTATTACAATTAACAGCTTTTGCACACTAAAAACCATAAATACTGCTTAAATTGCTTTACCGTATTTTAAAACTGCCTCCTTGCAAAATGTTAGGTGATGGTGACAGGTGAAGAGACACTTGGCACTTATGATCTAACACCTGTTACTTCTGAACTGGCATGCTGCCAGTGAAACGGGTTTGTTTTTTTGCAGCATTGTTTTTCCAGCTCTTTCAAAACAAAATGAAAACAAAAAATGCAAGAGATAGCTATTAAAGACATTATACCAGTGCAGAATGCATACTGAAACCAGATACCTGTTAGAGAAACCCCATCCTGCAAAGCAGAAAGCAGGACAATCCAAACAATTAAGCAGTCACGTTTTCTTTAAAGAGAACCTGTTGACTCTGCATGATGTTAGTCGTGAAGTGGCTCCTATTTTAACACAATACTTAAGTATTGCATTTTCATAATGTTTTATTTTATTGAATTTCTGAAGTGATTATGCATTATTTTTGTCTGCTTAGTTTCACACTGATGTACGAAAACCAGATTTCATGCAACCTGTTATTTCCTCAATGCACTGCAATGCATACTCTGATCAGAGGTATAGTTGGCTTGGTTTCAAAACGAAGAAAATAGGTCGAACAGATCTTTAACTGAAAACACAGTTTCGCTAGCCTGTTCTCCCCATGGCAACACCTTCTTAAACACTCCATGTTGCAGGGGATAATTTAACCCAGGCACAGTTCAGCCTCTCCTAAGCACATTCGTGTGGTGCCTTCTGTTTAGATAGACTTATTAAACGACAATATTGAAAACCTGTTTTTTCAAAGGTCGTATTTCTTCTGAAAGGCTTGTGCCTATACATTTGAAAACACAATATTATTTTCTTATTTTCCTTTACTATCATAATGTAATATCCATATTGTGTGTTTCTAAAGCATAAAGTTAATGAATTCTGGTTATTTTAAATGCATCCTTCCGTTCATTTTCTAACTGTTTTATCCAGCACATGGTTGTGAGGGAACCAGAGCCTATCCTGGCAAGCAACAGGCAGAAGGCAGGATATACTCTGGATGGGACGCCAGTCCATCACAGGGCACACATTCACACACTCACACCAGGGCTGATTTTCCCAGAAGCCACCAGTATGTCCTTGGACTGTGGGAGGAAACTGGAACACCAGCAGGAAAGCCATACGAACATGTGAAGAACATATGAAGTCCGTGCACATTGCAACCCAGGGATTGGGCCTCTGTGAGGTGGCAGTTTTTACCACTGTGGTGTCCCCATATTAAATCCTTTCAACAAAAAGTAGCTCCAACAATACAGCAGACTGACGATGAGAAGTGAAAAGGTTCATTTTTACATACAGTATGACACAAAATGACTCTTAGAATTAAAAATAAAATACAAGACAACCTTGGCTATCACAGAGACTGATTTAAAAAGAAAATATTCAATGCATGTGAAGCAAGTTTGGGCTGATTTATCAGCGAACATACATACTAATTAAAGGTGAGCAAAAACATACCAAAACAAGAACAGTTATGAATGAGAAAATGACATTTGGCCAGTTTAATCCTTTATTACTTAGTAGCTAGTTGATTTTTTTTACTTTTTCTTTGAGGGTTTTTTTTTAATTTTCATCATTATTATGCAATTAGTAATGAAGAATTATCTAATTAACCACTATTTTCATGACTATATAACAGTGATGAGGCCCTCATCTTAAGATGGACTTGGAGACGTGTGTGTTTCTGAAGTTACTGGAGATGTTTCAATGGAAATTTCCACATTTCAGTTGTGCAACTGCCCAGCACTGTACTCATTCATCAAGCTAAAGACTGATAAATCGTGCCCATCACAGGGCTGGAGAGCCCATTATTTTACACCTTAAATTTTTTTCATTTTATAAAATTTATTTGCAGGAGATAAACTGTTCTTAATAATTGTAAATCCTTTCCTTTTTTTAATCGGAATGCTCTTCCTTCACAGAGACACTTTGTCATTTACCTGTAATGTATGATATTTTAATGATGCTTTAAGAAGTTTTATCCTAATTCATACTAAGTCCAGTCCAGTTTCTTTTAGTACATGGGGCTCATTATTTTTAATTTCTTTGGACATATCCCTAAGATGAAGGGTAATACAGAGTAATTGGTCAGATACAATGGTAGAAGTAGTTAGTTATTCATCTTATTAGTTGTTGTAAGTTATTATTGGTTACTATTAGAGAAAAAAAATATATATTTAGTTTATTTATACACCTTACTTATTTTTGAGTAAGCACAAAATCCATTCAACTAAAAACCTGCACTCTTAAATGCCAACATATATATGTTTGCAATTTCCCTCACGGGATCAATAAAGTATGTGTTAAGGACCACAAGTGTTAACTCTGGTATTTCATTTTCGAAGAAAATGAACAGCTGAACAGCAGTAAATATGCACATGGTAATTTGATCACGCTCGCTGTAAAACCTGTAATTACTTGTGCACGGGAACAGTGAGTTCTTCTTAATAAAAACGTGACCAGTGCATTCTGGGGGATCTGCTTGTTTTGGCTACGGCGGAGTTCCAGTATACTGTAAGTGTTGCGGAGAGTCGTTTCTTGAGATTTATGCTAATTCTCTCAGCTAGCGTTATGTGCGTCAGGGAATTATTCTGTCGAGGTTTTGTGGTAAGTCCGTAAAAGCATTTAAACGATCGATACAGTAGTCTTGCGAAATGCGTTTTAGCGCGTCTCACTACAGCGTGCGTTTGTGGGGTGAGAATCCAATAATTAAGCTCACCCCACTTGTTTTTCCGTCAGTTTAACATTACTCGTAGACGTGTTTGGTTTCCGTTTGTAAAATGTTTGTTTCGAAAACATGTCGTAATTACGTTCAGTAATTATAATAATAACTACAACAACTCAAAGCATCCTACTTCTAATATTGCAATATTTGATATTTATTAAGTAATATGAATCGGAGGATAGGATAGAATAGTTGTAAGCATAGTAATTCACGATAATGCAGTTCTAACAGGAGTAATTTTTCACCGAATTTGTTGTAACGTGTTCAAGACAACTTAACCGGAGACTGAGCAGTGATCAGTGTGAAAGAAGAAAACAATGATATCAAGAAGCCCTGAGATCCATCAGAAAAGTTCTCTGCCCTCTCTTCTGAATGCTTACCTCCCACCTGAGTGCAAAAAACAGGTAAATGTGGGGACTGCTCTTATAGAATACCTCATAGCATGTTGACTGTTGTGTTGTTTAGAATATTTTTAATAGTGTAACGAATACGCCCCTGTGCATAACAGGAATGTTGGCCGCCCGGGCTGAGGAGGGTCTTCTTTAGCTCAGCCGGCAAGTCCCCTGTTGAGTGACGCTGGAGATCCGGGTTCGAGCCCAGGCAGTGAGGGACAAGCCCAAGAAACCGAATTCGCTACAATGCTTTATAAACATTAAACCTATACACGTATGTGGTAACATACGTTTAATTAGCCTGAAAGGTGCATTCGATGACTAAACTGGCTTCTAGATGAAGTCTGCTACCTGGGAGCACAAAGTCAATGGGGAACAGGTTCTTTTAAGTGATTATGACTATAAAGATTTCTGCGTCCACCACTGCTGCAATGGCAGGGACTGCAGCAATAGGGTGCAAATGATGTTTTGAACTGGAATTGGTTTGTCAACAGGTACTCGGTACGCAAACAGTACCCCACCTCTGTCTAAATAAAGCATTGTGTTTCCTTCCCTTTCACAGTGCAGTGCGGGACTGTAGCACAGTTGCACTTCTTTTACACAGAAGAACCATTGATTCAACTGAATGCCTTGGATGGGGTGGGGGTGGTCTGTTTTCTTATTGGCTTTTATCATAGTCTGAGTTTATAAGATCAAACCCTTGGACGTCATGTGTGTCCATCAAAAAGCAGGAGAGAGCAGCTGCTAAGGTGGTCGTCTTGGTTACAACTGGCAACACAGACCCCCCTCCCTATTTTCTCTTTTACTCTGAAGCAAAAGGGCTGAACAGCAATCTCACTTGCATGCATAGCTTTACATTGGAAGACAAATCGGTTTCATTGATTGGGGAGTAATCTGTGTGCTTTCTGTTTTCAGTTCTACACTCAATAGCTTTCAGGATGTAGCCTATCTGAGGGGAGTCCAAAATGCTCTCAGTAAGGTGATAGGGATCATTTACAAAAAGCAGTTGGTTGGCTGCTTAAAAATTATTCACAGCTATTCGTTGGAAAAGACAAGATAATTGCGGCTCAGGAGGCCTTTTTGCCTGCAGTATTACTGTGGCAACAGCGCTTATAAATACCATTTGGTCCTGGTAGCTATTGTGCAGACATAACTTGCACTTCCTGACGGAGAGAGCTCTAAAGACAGCATTTTGTGGTAGTCAACTGAAGGATCACATTCAAGACCACCAAAAGGTGCATTTGTACCTTGTTAAAAAGAAATCCTGCTCATGTTACTCATCTGAAACCAGTATTGAGGGAACTGTTAAATACCACATACCTTTAGGATTGTCTGGCTTCTGCTAAAGGTAATAGTATTACAGTATTCCAGGAAAACCATTTTTCTTACGTTTAGTCTAAGTTGAGGTCAGCTCAGTCTGACACCTTTATTTCCATTTAGATTTTAAGAAACTTCCAAAATGGAAGACATTGTAAAAAAGTAACACTTGTTTTGTATTTCATTTACAAATCCAATTAGCACATGAATAATACCACAGGGGATTTTTAGAAACTAAATGTTCTAGCAGAATCTTAAGTATGTTGGCCAGAAAGAAAACACAAAGCCTGCTAATTAATTTGCTATTCAGAGACTTCTGAAGAGCACTTGAGAGAAAGGAAAGCAGCTCACCAAATGTAAAAGACAATTATTATCAGAATCTCCTGAGCCTTTTGCAGTGCAAAATGAATTCCTCTCAGCTAGACATGCACATGGATTGAGATTTAGATCTGTGGACACATTTGTTTCAGAAAACATCAATTTACTGACAGTGGAAAGACTTATAAGTCTTTGCACTGGTATAAGTGTTTTTTTTTATTATTTTAATTTCTGATGTTGCGTGATAGGAAAAGAATGAAATTTCTGTTACCAAAGGGTGTGAAATTGCAAAAAGATGTCAGCGAATTCATGTTTTAAATAAACTTTTTCTGTCTACAAAAGTGAAGGGCAGAACACACATTGAATATTAATTACCTGGTTCAATTTTAAAATTGTACAACGCGTCAAAGTCTTTAAAAAGAAAGATACTTGTTTGATGGCCTCCAACAGTGACAAGTCACCAATTGTATTACATTTTTTTCTTATGTAGCAGCAGGAATGCTTTTGAAACTGTGAAAAAGCACGTACACACACTATTATTTTCACTTATTCTACCTAAGCCTCAAGTATCCTTACTTCTCAAAAGGAATGTGCAAATTAAAATTGGGCTTTGTCTGAAACTCTGGTTGTGTGTGTTAATGTGTATCAAAGCTTCCTTATAACCTTTTTTTTTTCCCCTGGAGTGACATGACAAGTTCTTTTTGGCAACATATTTTTTTTTGTCTCGCAGGGAGATGGAAAACAGCAGGTTAAGGAGAAGAAGAGAAACCATGGGGACGACTCCTTGAAAAATCCCAAAGAGGATGAAGATGATGAAGTGAAAGTCATGAAGCAAGTCATGCTCGACCAGGTAAATAGAAGAGAACATGCCCCAGACTAAGACTGGGAACAGCCGCAGGACTGCTTGCCAAGCCTCCCATTTCTAAAAATGGAATCAAGCAAAAGCACAATTGCTTTTTGCAATTTTCTAGATCCAAAAAGCACTGAAAACCCTAATATGTAGTGTATTTACTGTCATCACAGTGAGCTGCCTGTGTGTCAGCAATCTGTGGGGAAAGGGTCATTTGCTTTAACTATAGAACATGCATAGTTGAAGTCAAAGCGACATGACTCAGATGTCATTTTCAACCCCTTTGCCATGTTTTGTCAGTTTTACATCATTTCTGTGTGAAATGGTGCTTTCCTTTTTGCTAAACCCCTATTGTAAGACTGATCTTATGTATTGATTTTACCTGCCTCTCATTTGTTGTATTTCCCTTCACCTTGATTGTTGCTGCTGTTGAGCAAACAACACCGATTAGAAGGGCTTGTTCTATGTGAGGCTATCAATAAAAAAAAGCCACACACATGAAACCACAAACTAACAAACGTGGGAACAAGGAAGAAGGCATTACCAGAACTACTTGGCCAGTTTTCCTGGCCAGTATTATTTGATCATGATTATTTCCACAGGTGATAATCTTTGACCATTGTGCCACCACAAACCAACACATGAAAGTGGAGGTTAAAAGCTCATCTCAGTGGAGACCTTGATGAAATTGTTCTACACTGGTGTTTGAACTGTACAAAAAGACAGCCTTTTGGCTATGGCTGACCTTGTTGGGGAAAAAGAAAAGAAGAGTTCCTTCTTTGAAATATTGCACGTTTGGCGTATGCAAATTTCTCTCACCTGCTGTAGTAGCCAGAACCTCTTTCCAGTCAATGAGCCATGCAAAGTGATGTTTCCTTATCTGAAACTGTGGATCCCACAGTTTAAGTGGGATCAGCAATTAGGAAAAACAGAATGCAAGAAACTGTCATTGTACATTGTGGAGATATTGTATTACAGGAATACCCAGCAACAAGGACAGTTAGTTTTTGGATTCAAATTCCACCAGATATCTTTCAACAGAGGCTGCTGGTTGGTGGTAAGGAGGGTTGGAAGTTGCACCTACCCTTTGTTTGCAGCCTACAATGAATAGATAACAGACAATAGTTATCCTTCACTTTGGGACTGTATCATTACTTTGGGCCGTTATTATGAAGTGTTACCCTTTTCTGAAAACATCAGCAACACTAAATGATGCCGGTATCAGCCATCAGCGTGTCCTGTGCATTCAGAATAGCAGTCTCAAAGCAGACTTGATTGTGAAAAGTGCAGTGGTGGTATCATTCTTTCTCCTGCATAGATTGCTGGGACTTATTCATAATACCCTATCTTTATTAACATTTTGTTGTCAGGAAATCTTAGCTTCTAAAAAAGAAGCGAAAAGTGCATACTTATTAATCAGTATAAAACAGCATTATTGAATCAAACAAATACAGCATCTTTACTTCTGAATATTAAGTTACTGAGTCTGTAAAATGTGTTATTAAAGATATATTTCATTTCTAAAGTCTTCATAGCAGAATAAAGAATAGTAAATGTGAAGTACTTTTCCAGTAAGCCTCTCTGTGGGTTTGTCAGTTAGGCTAAAAATATCAGAAGAACAGATCGTTAATGCTAACATAAATCTAATTACTTATTGGTGTGAAGATATCAATGCTGTATCATAGCAGCTATCAGGCACAGAGGCTGTGACTGCTAGCTGTTTTACTTCCAGGAATGCTTCACATATAAATTCATGTTAGAAAAAAACTGTTGACTTGTAAAATACTTTCTCGGTGAGAAAGGTCCAGTGGGAAATTGCAGATGCCTTTGTCTTTGCCCCTTTTCCCACAGGTTCATTTGAGTTTTATTAAACCTCTTTCTACTTTGCCTGGCACACTCCGTTGGAAAAGAAACCCTTTTCAGCTTCTCCTGTGCAGTCCTGGTAAAGCCTCTGTAGAGTGGAAAGAAAGAATGAGATGTTCCCTGCAGAGCTGCTACAAGTGATGGGTCACTGTGTCCTTTAGTCTGTACTGGGCTTTTGATTTCATCACCTCTATCGATTTCTGTTGTCCTTCTTTATATTTTACAAATCTTGGGGCACTTCAAGCTGCATTGTTGCTGTGAAGATTATTCATCCCAATATCACCTGACTATATATAAAAAAAAATGATTTAATAAGATGATCAGCTCCTTTCAGAAGGAAATACTGCTGCAAAAGCTGAGACGTTTTAGCTTCAGTAAATCAGAGTTTGACCTTTTCCTTTTTCTCACCTGTTGCTGCTACTACTACATGGCAAGATCACTTACTTTTTCATCAGCCCATGGTTAATGTCTCAGCATCCAGTTTTAAGTCATATTAACCCATGTAACTTATGAACACCAAGTTGTTTTACTTTGAACAATTTTCAGAATATCTTTGTCCTCCTCTATATTTCTCTGATTTTTTTTTGTGTTCAAAAAGTTAATGCTTTGATTAATGTTTTGGTTAATCCTGTGGTCTGACAAGGATGGCCTTTGAGCTTTGCGGGGTGCTTTTTATTGTCTCCCAGCGCCACCTAGAGGCTTACAGGAACCTGCACCGGCTCAGAGATGCGATGTATCTCCACTACTCGGATTTGTTGAAACAGAAGATCCAGAAACAGAGGAAGGAGATGAAGCAACACAGTCTCGCTGCCCACAAACCCACAGAGAAGCCAAGAGGACAGGTGAGAAAACTGTCAGTAGAAATGGTGTGAAAAGTGTGATGTGAAAAAAACTGACAGACATTAAAAACTGTAATATTCTCTTCCATTTAGTGTTTCATCCTGAAAAATTCCCAGTCTTCTACATATATTATTACACAATGTACTTCCTATATTTAAAGAAGAAAACAATGAAAAAGAATAAGATAAATATTTAATGTGAAAAATAAGTGGACATTGTGATTTCATAAATATTCTAAGCCTTTGCAGTGGCAAACCTGAATTTACAGTAGGTACACAAAAGTACTTTATTTAGTCACACACTTAATTGAGTGGACTCTGTATGTAATAATGGTGGTTCACATGATTTAAAAACAAATACATAATAAATAAAGAATCAACGAAGAAGACCAAGGAGCTTTAAAAACAACTCAGGAATAGAGCTGTACCAAGGCACATATTAGTAGAAGGGTATAAGACACTTAAAAAAACACCTTAAAAAGGAAAAGGCACCGGGACAGTGCTTGGATCAGGCTGTCGCTCTGAACTGAGAAGTGGAGAAGGGATGTCACGTGAGGCCAGTGTGGACTTTTGTCTAATGCGAAGTGTTACATCTGACACAAAGCTACCATAGTGCTTCATTCAGTACTGTCCCTATTGTCATGCATGGTGGTGGCAGTATAACGTTCTTGTTCTGCTTCTCAGCAAACTGGGAAACTTGTCAAGACTGATGGTAACATGGATGGAGCAAAGTACTGGCAAATCATCGAAAATCCTGCTTCAGATCTAAAACTGTGAGGTTTGGAAGGGCAGTGACCCAGAGTTCAAGGTCAGAGTTCAGGTTGCACTGAAGTGGCCCAGGATAAGGAAAAGCTGACTTCAGTGGTAAAATGACATTTAAAATGACTGGCCAGCAGGTGGAGATGTTTGCCAAGGTTTTTAATATGTAATTGTTTTAATTAATCGCGTTCACTGACACTGAAGGTAAATCACGGTACTTCTAATATTAGAAATTGTTTTTTTTTCTTCTGAAATCTCTGTAAAAATCAAAATGTCTAATTGTCACATTAATATATTTACTTTTTCTACTGCCTTCAAATCTTAGAAAAAATAGTTTAGTAATCCAGTTTGATTCTTGTGTTCTAGTATTCATTCATATTGAGTTATTATCGACAGATTTTTGTTTATTGCCTTAACCCTTAGTGCTCATAAGTGTGAAGGTGGGGCAACGTAAAGCTTTCATTTCAGGAGAACCTTACAAATGATAAAAACAGCACTTGAGACATTGCACCTCTCACTTCAGACTATGGAAATGTGCTGGGTGGAGGAGGTTCCCATCCTGCTAGTATGCGCAAAAAGGCTTTTGACTGAATCTAATCCCAAATACACAAAACTGCCAGATCAACAGTTCAAATCAAAGTTCTCGACACCTTTGCCTTCATCCTGGCTTTCCATTACTAGAATACTATCAGGAGGGAAAAGGTGTTTTGAGTTTCAAACCAAACTGTTCTTCACAAGGATATTACTTAAAACATTAGAAAGGCAATTAGCAACTAATCCTTTGAGTCGTGCATTTCCCTTAGCTGTTAGGATGTAGACTCATCAAGATCAGAAGAAATTCTTGAAAAAGCTGATAAGATGTATAGTAGTCCTTGATCCAGGCTGAAGTGTTGTTTTACCACATAAGATGCATCTAAAGTGCATAATTATTCATGTTGATTTTAAATGGCTGATCTAGGCCAATAAATGTATTCTCATGTTTAGGAAATAAAATAATATGATAGACACACATCCTTTAAAATAAAAGCAGATGTTTTCAATGATTTCGCTTGGGTCAAATACAGAATATGAACAACTTTTTAAACTGAATAATGTTAATGTTGTTTTTTTAAGATGTTCATCAATAGCTCAATTCTTATATTCTGACTGCCTTACACAGCCTGTGTCTGGAATTTTATTTCTTTGAATTTATTTTAGAAATCATGTCACACTAAAGATACAAAATGTAAATGTTTGTTTAGATTAGTAACTCAAATTTAAAATTCTGATTGTCTAATGCAGCATGTACTGTATCTGCAAATTTATTTTTGCTTAGATTTACACTGAATGTAGAGAACACTTACTTTTTGTCACAGATTTGTAAAGCTAAGGAACTACGTTCTCAATCAGGCGTTTTCTAAAAGCTTGCGCTTAACTTTGACTTTGTGCGTGTGATACTGGCACTAACTTTTTGCGTAAGTGCAAATGTTGATAAAAGGCTCGGAATCTTGTCTTCTCTTCCTATAAAAGGTATAGGGCTTCAGTAGACGGTAATTGCTCTTTCTAATGACGTCGGTTTAAGAGGAAGATAAAAAAGACTAAGTTTATGGGCCTGTCAGCAGGAATCCTTTGGTACAAATTGCAGGGTAAATGAAACAGCCTGTTGTTTCCTCAGCTTGGTCGAGAGGCTCTGTCAAAGCCACAGAGATGGGGCAGGACCATCAGGCAGTGTTGAGAACACCTGCTGGGTCCTAATTGGTCCCCACTCTTGTTAATGGCTTCCTGTGGCTGCATGTTTACTTGTCATTTGTTCTGTGCTTTCTTTCCCAGCTACTGAAAGACTCACTGCTGACTGTCTCTTTATCACCTCCCCTCTCTCAGACAGTGTCAGGACAGAGACTGGCCTTTTCCACTCTTTCTCACGATGACCAGTACCTGCAGTCCATCCCTAAATCCAGCTTTTACTTGGTATGTCATGCCCTGCAGTGTAATTATTTATTGCATATCCTTATGTATAAATCATAATTTGGTAAGAAATGTTTCAAAACATCATAAAAACTGTAAAAGTAAATAGTTAAAAGTGCCCACTGCAAGTATTGGGACTGCAAAGTCAAAATTGCTATTTTTGCTGTATTCTCAATTAATTCGGATTTGAGATACAAGAGGAATATGAGACATAAGAACAGAATGTAGCATTTTATTTCTGTGTTTATATATTGTAACATTATAGAATAATAGCACTTCTCGTGTTCAACCCCGCCCATTTCAGGTGAGCTTAAGTCTTGGGACAAGTGGCTGCCAGGTGTTTCTTATTGGTCAGGTGTGTCCTGTTGCACTGAGCTGTGAATGTGTAGGGTTGGATTTAGCCTTTGCTCTTCCTTTTAGTGTCTGCCTTTAAAGTCAGTAGGCCTGCTCCAGCATAGAGAACTACGAAAGAAAAGCAAGCATTTGGATGCTGAAAGAAAAGAAGAGTTCAAAAAGAGCCACAGCACAGAAACTGGGTGTAGCAGAATCAACAATTCAGAATATCGTGAAGAAGAAAGAAACCACTGGTGTATTTAGCAATTATCAACAACCAGGTCAGCCGAGGAAAACAACTGCAGTTGATGATTAAAAAAAAAAAAATTGATCAGATCTGTGAAGAAAGGTTCTAAAACAACCGTTCACCAGCAACCTCCACAGTGCAGGGGTGAAAGTATCAAAAGACTTCACAGAGCACAGAGCATAGAAATATTATTACAATTGCTAAACAGAACAGAGCTAGCAGATTTCTGGAACAGAGTATTACGGACAGATGAAGAGAGAAAGAAACCTCTACCAAGGTGATGGCAAGGGGAAAGTGTGGAGAAAGGAATGAAACGCAGATGATCCCATGCACTTCATAACTGAAACATGGTGGAGGTAGTGTCGTGTCCTGGGAATGCATGGCCACCTCTAGAACTGGGTCACTCATCCTTATTGATGAAGTAACTAACTCTTGTAGCAACAGATTTCAGAAGTTAAAAAACATCTCGTCTGCCTGTGTACAAGAAAATGTCTCTAGACTCATTGGCAGGGACTTCATCATGCTGCAATACAGTGACCCAAGACGTACCTCCAAACCAATCAAGGAGAACATCAGGGGAAAAGGGTGAAACATCTTAGACTGGCCATGTCAATCTCCTGATTTCAATCCAATCGAGCATGCATTTCACTCGCTGAAATAGAAACTTAAGTCAGTAACCTCCAAATCTAACAGTAACTGAAAAGGACTGCAGCAAAAGCTTGGGAAAGCATCTCAAAAGAACAAGCCAAGAGTTTGGTGATGTAACTGGGCTGTAGGCTTGATGCGGTTATTGCATTCTATGGATTTCCAACCAAGTACTTTTATCCTTTTTATTAAAGTTTTATCCTACTTTAATTTATTTTAAGTTAATTTGTTCCAATACTATTACTATTCTTGCTATTTTAGGTGAGCATAAATCCCAATACTTGTGCTCACCAAAATTGCATGGGTGGTATTACTCTAAAATGATAAAGCATATATGCACAGAATAACCCAGAAATAAAAGGTGATGTTCTGTACTTTTGCCTGATATTTATCTTTTTATCTCAAGACAAAGTTGCTTGAGTACATGGGGAAAAAATATCAATATTGGCTACACTGTTCCAATACCTATGGGGGCAAATAGGGTTTGCACCATTAGTTCCACAGGAGATTGCAGGGCACTGTCAGTGTTGCCTTGATTTCTCTGTCCTTCGCAAACACCATTGAAACTATGTTCATATCTGCGGTATAAGAAAGGTTTTCAAAGTGAATGTGAAAACGTCTCTTCTGTTTTGCTAATCCATGTATAGTAGTAAAGGGTTGTTTTCTTATGGGATTTTTTTACGTTTTTTTTTCCTTGGTTTTAGTTTGTGTGCAACAAATAGAGGTCAATTCACATATTTTGGAAGGTGTTACTTGTTAGTGAAGATTCTTGGCAAAAAAACTTTTCTTTCTACTTTTCCGCATGGAAGTGACCTCCACTTGTTCCTTTGCTTCCCACAAGCTCGCGTGGCTCCCTGCTTCAGGCCCTTTAGTTTGTGTGCTTAATTTCAGATTGTAGATCTCCAGAACCACTTGACCAAATGTGGGCTTCTGAAGACCAGACAGGATCATGAGGAATTCTGGATGTTGGCGCAGCAGTACCAGCACAGAGCCCAGAAGAAGATAAAACTCGAGGATATTCGAAAGAGTTGAGTGTCATTGATGTATTAATTCATGTTGGTGTATACACAGTAGTGTCACACAGACGGCTGCTGTACTTCAGCAGTTGATGAAGTGGTCACCTCCAATATATAAGACAGTTTTGGATCATTAGGGATTTATTGGACTGAATAGATGTAATCTACTATCACATTTATTATTTTTATTATTATAGATGTTGGTATTTTCAGTATATGTGAACAGAATCTGTAATCGTATTACAAATGTAAAATAAGCAGAAAATATTTTAACATGTAACAATATACTTGTTTGACGGCATCATATTTAGACTGAACAATTTCAAAATACAGTACTAATTATTTAGTCATGGTTTATGGCACTTGTGCCGTATGGTTGTGTGACTCTCAATTAAATTGCCCTTTTTTTTTGACAGTGGTTGCGCACAAATCTGCACCAAATTTTACTCTAAGAAAAACCATCCAAGATGCACAAGGTCAGCCAAAGATGGGTCACTTCAGCCAGGCTGAAAAAAGCTTCAAGGAAAAAGTAAGTAACGGAAAGCATAGATGTTTTTTTACATAGTGTTCAAGTCCTTCATACTTCCAAATCTACTAAAGCGATAAGACGGCTCCCTTTATCAGTTCTTCTGAATTTATCCATCTATCCATTTTCTAAACACTTCACCCAGTTCAGGGTCATGGGGAATCTGGAGCCTATCCTGGCAAGGAATATGTGCAAGTTGGGATACACCCTGGATAAGACGCCAGTCCCTTGCAGGGCACACATACTCACCAGGGCCAACTTTTTCCCGAAACCAATTAACCTACCAGTATATCTTTGGACTGTGGGAGGAAACCAGAGCACCCAGAGGAAACCCATGCAAACATGGGGAGAACATCCAAACTCCACACAGATAGGACCCCAGTTCCCAAGTCCCAGCACTGCGAGGCGTTGATGCTAACCACTGTGCCTCCCCATCTGAATTTCTATGATTTCTTATTCTTTTATAGCAGTTCAGAGGCTCACTTTGAAGATTAAAGCGTTTAGTCATGTACGTTACATTCAATAAAACTGACTTTTGAGATGGTTCATAGGGAATACTGAAACCTTCCACTAATATTTATGATAGCCAATGTAACTTGTTCACTAATTTTATATTCTTTTGGAGGGAAAAAAATTGGGGATAACAAACATAGTGAAGAAGCTCTTTGTTTGGACAGGAAATAATTCAGCATCATCTTCTCTGTGTGAGAATTGGGAAGCCGGATGGAGTCGGATCTGGTTTTCAAGCATCTTGCAGCTTGTGGGTTTCTTGATCACATTCAGGCAAATGCAGCGTGTTTGTCAGGTTTTTTTGGCAAGCACACTTTTATCATTCTGAGCAGGAACGAGTGTGAGCCTGAGTCTTGTGGAACAGCATGAAACGGAAGGAAGCCAAGTTTGATTTTTTTTCCCTTTCACGTTAGAAAATTTGAGTGGGTTTTTAGGGCATGGAAACGCATATATTGCGTTATTTTTTTAAAAACCGTTGAGCACTTAAGCTCCTTAAAGGTGCTTTACAAGTGGCTTTTTCCTAATGCTTCCCGGTGTGGGGAGGATTAGTTAGGCTGTCACCACACCGCGAGAAGGCTGGACAGTCTTTCATCCTGGCCCTGTCTAAAGCAGACCGCATGGGCCCCTGTTTGCCCTGCTGCCCAGGACAAACACCGCTCCCCTCACTGCCCGTTACCATCAGCACTGCTGGAAAAAGAGGAGATTGTTCACAAAATGGTGAGATAACCAAATAAAGCTGGATCAGTAACCACTTTTACAACTAGCGCAGTCAAACATCGCCCAAGTTAAAATTTCCAGGTCATTAAAGATGAGAAAAGCACACGGAGCATTTGATAAATTGGATTTTGGTGTCACTTGTTTTATAAGTAGTTTATGCCTTTCTTTAAACATAGTTTAAGTACCTAATCACCAAATAAAGCATTTTTAGCTTTTTGTTATCTTACTTTAAACAGCCACTCATCTGAAACACTTGATTTGAGCTGCCTGGCCTTCTAAAATGATTACTGTAAGATAAAATGTACATTATAGGAAAGCAAATACCAGAATAAAAGCATATCCCTGTTCTTAAATGATCGTGGATCAGCAGAAGGATGTTGAAAGAAGGTGGATATTCAGTGTTCCTCTGCTGCAGTACAGTATTAATGCAGCTGCGTTTGTCAGAGGGATTCTAACTCTGTTTAGTAAGAGCGTGTATGATGTTAGGAAGGGCGTGTAACCACTGGAGGTGCCTGGATGTCAGAAATTAGGACAGCGCTTAGAAGAGTAGCAGAGGCTTGTGCCGACAAGTATTTCATTAGTGCGAATTCTCCCTGCCGCACCGACAGACATGGCCGCATGACGATAACACTCTGTCCTGCCCTCTGCACATGACATTCCTCAAGCCTCTGGGAAAACGCCTTAGAACTGCTTTAAAAGGCAACCAGTAAGGCTACTTCACATGTTAAGAAGATGAAAAGAGCAGGGGAATAGTATGTCTAAAAAGGCAATTAATTGAAGTTTTGTTTTGTGATCAATGCTGTTGAAAATTGAATTTTTTTTTTAGGTGAGGGGGTAAGAAGTTATGCTTAGGAGGTTTAGAAAATATTCCAGAATAAGTGAAAGTCTGCTCTGAATATTTCATGCAGGTTGAACTATACACAATATTGGTAATGTGATGTGTAACATTTGCAGAACAAAAACTTGGGGAGGCTTTCTTTCAGAGGAGGACTAACAAAAGCTGATGCTTATAGTGTGTGTATAAATACATATCACAATGCCCTTTAACTTTTGGCCTTGTCAATATGATTTATTACTATACCTAAGGTAAACTTATAGTCTACACACCTTAAATCCATGTGTTTCACCTGCTTCGCTGTACCTTTAGCAAGATTTTCTCTTAGTTTTGTATTAGATCTGCTCCTGCCTGGTTTGTGTTCCCCTGTTACCTGCTGCATGGTGCTGTGAGTAAACTGCCTCCACTTAGGAGCCCTTTCAGCTGAGATTTGTCACCCAGCAGCCAAAGTGTGGCAGCACAGTGGTGAGCAGTGTTATCAGGTGTTAGCTGCAGTGCTCTCAGGCTATCCTTGAGAAGTAGCACATCATTAGTAATATATTAACAACTAAATGTGCACTTTTGCAGGTCACATCCTAAACAGGGCAATCAGAAAATAGTCTTCCCACCGAATATTAGCTTTTCTATTAGAGTCTTCCTGTGTGTAAGATGAAAAGATTTTGAATCGTAGTGGTCTTCAGGAAATCCAGTTATCATGGAATCGGACAGTTCGAACAGACCTGGAGAAATTGTGCATTTAACATTACATAGACCTAATTAATTTCATTTTATTTCCACCTACACTTGTCAACCCATGCTGAATTCTTAGGTGGGCTTTTTTGATTCATCTGATCCCCAAATTGTTATGTGCAGTCTCTGTTTAAGTGGGTTTGGTTCCCCTGTACTAAACCTAAGACCCCTGTGACACTACAATTTAGTGACTCTACAAACCAAATCTCCTGGTATCTCAACAATGATCTGTTTCAAAGAGATTCTAAATGTATTAATTAACCTCGGGGTTTTAAGGCACTTTTGTACTGAATCTACAAAATGTTTGTAAAAAAAACATTTAATTAACTTTTCACGGATATGATTTTTTGTACCTGTAACACCATTGTTAGAAACTATTGGATTCTTCATTTTGTTAGCTCCACCATTTTATCACTGATTAATAGGAGGCTTATTTTAGGAAAACAAATACTTCTAAAAATAAATTGCATCTATTTTTCAAAACCGCTTTTTACAATCCATTAAACCTAACTTTGTTTTTTACTCACACTCAATAAAGCTAGGTGAGAAATGACTGCCGATAAGATCATTTTATTGGCCGTATACAATTTCTTGCACTAGGAATTTGTCTTTTCGCAGACCCCAGCTTGCTCTCCATGAGACACACAGACAGGGAGAGCTTGGGGTCAGAGCTCAGGGTCAGCCATTTATACGGCGCCCCTGGAGCAGTTGGGGTTAAGGGCCAACAGCGTAGGATTCCTCTGCCGGACGCGGGATTTGAACCAGCAACCTTCCAGCCACAGGCGCAGATATAACTGGCACAGATCAAAAACTAGTCAAAATGACTGGAACTGGAAAATTTAAGACCGTCAGAAAAGCTGCCTTATAAGAAACTAAGTCACACCATCAATTTATTGTGAGTGGATTTTTTTTAATGCTTCTCAGTCCTGTTTACTGCTATTTCTGTGCTGGCCTCTATACAGAATACTCATTCAGAGAAAGCAGTCTGTGAAGGCACCACCCATCAGCATGGCAAACACGAGAGGGAACTGGACGAAATTGAGCAAATGTTTCCCAAGGTAAGTGTCAAACCACAGGCAGTGTAATCCCTCTTAACCGGGGCTCTGTGAGGCAAACACACCTGCCTGCTGCTGGGAATAATCTCCTCTTTCCTCCCTGGGCAATTGCCAAGCGAGAGGAGTGTAAAAGCTAGTTTCTTTTAGAAGTCGCAGGAGGTCTCTGATATTCGTATCAGAAATCGTAAAGATGTGGGCAGCCGATAGGATTCAAGTTACCCGTGTAAAAATCCATAAACTGAGATTATCTGCTCTAAAAAGTAAATAAGAGACTATTAAACCTTTACTAAATTTTATTTTAGAATGACATATTTCTAAAGAGTTGTAATATAGACAATTAAGTAAGCATATGTAGGTCAGTTCTAATTGACCAGCCATCCATTTTCTAACCACTTCATCCAATACAGGGCAGTGAGACCCAGGGTCTATACTGGAGGGCAATGGGAGCAAGGCAGGACACACCGTGGACAGGACGCCAGTCCATTACAGGGCACACACAGACACACACACTCACTCCAGGGCTAGTTCACCTACCAGCATGTCTTTGGACTGTGGGAGGAAACCGGAGCACCCAGGGGAAAACCACACAGATGGCACACCAGAAATGGAACCATGGGCCTCACTGCTATGAGGCAGCGATGCTAACCATGGTCCCACCATGCCACCCTGTACTACACTCTGTGACCACCTGTGAAAATCTTTTGAGGTGTTTTCTGCCTTTTGTACAAAGGAGAATCAACACTTATAGGTAGTATAATTCTGAAAGTATCAACGTGTAGTACTGTGGCCACTTTCTGTAAATCCACTTTTGCATAGTTATGGATATGGTAGAAGGACAGAGCATGTTTGCCAACCTGCAAACACGGAAAGCAAACATCACTAAAGCAGAGCTGAGGAGGAAGGGGAAGGAAAACAAGCGAGGATGAATATGGGCTTCAGAGGCAGGCTGGGATTGAGGGTTCATTTTGTCACACCTCACTGTCAAAGTCAAACTGCGCAAACAGACACTCGGGCTGACATGAGAGAGAGCTGTGAGGAAGACAAACACCGCTGAGACTAGTGGGCAGGAGAGCTGGTAGAGGCATTAGTCATTGGCAGGATTGTTGCCCTTTCCTGACACCTCAGGGATGAAATATGGAAAACACTTTGACTTAGCTTCCAAAAATCCATCATGTGGAGTCAGGCCACTTTGTGTGTCACAACCCTCTCACAGAAGGCAGTGTTGTCTGTGTGCATGTGGGAAACACTGACAGAGGATTCAGGGAGGGGCTTTTGACCCCTAGAACTGCATTTGGAATTTTTTTTTTAATAATAAATCTAGACAAACCTTCGGCCATTTAAACTTAAACATTGTAACAGTTGTGTTGTGTCATATGCCTTGTATTGAGAAAGCATTCTGATAGTTATGTTTTTCATCCAAAATCTTATAATGAATATTTGGAGTAAAAAAATATTTCCTTGAACACCGTTGGCTTTATCTATTGTTACTTATACCCAGTACAAAGTGATTAAATTAAGAGGCAGGTCACACTGTGGAGGGGATGTCATTGCGAAAAAGGAGTGTCAGGCCAACTTGAGTGCCTTCTGTCAAGATGTGCACAGCTTGTAAACTGTTGTAAGGAGGAAACTATATGAAAACTAATCTGTTTTTACAACACATTTAAAATTGCATTTAAAAGTAGATTTATGGAAGAGTATTGGTACAATATAAACGCATGCCGACTTGCCGGGATACTGTGCGAATGATTTAATAAAAGTAAGGAGTCAAACGCCAAACACATTCTATCCCAGTCATCTAGAAAGATCGTCCATAAAGGATGTTAAATGGTTATAAAATGAATTCAAATGAATAGCCTGGCTCTGAGTGACTGAGCGTGTTGTAAAACCTGAGTGACTCCACTATGAGAAAGCGGGTGGGGGAGTTAGAACAGACACCAAGAAGAAAACCTTCACACCTCTGCTGTCCACACCTTCTGAATGGCTCACTGTAAGTTTATGGAAAACAAGCTGCCAGTGTTGACACCTTGAAACGCAGGACAGCAGAGCCTGGTCAGGAATACTGGCCTCAGCTGTGGGGCTGGTAACTGGTTTCATTCTGCTCTGCTCCCTTTTGTATGCAATTGACAGATTTGATCGGATGAGCATCCTGCTTTCTTTTAGCAACAGATCCCTTCCAGCGGTAAGATCGTTCATGGGTTCCTCTCACTATAGGTTTTGCTCGCAAAGAATGCCTTTTAAGACTAAAACAGGATTAGCCCATCAGAAGTGATGTATGCTCCCCACGAAAGTATGGACATAAATTTATCTCAGAGTTAAAAAAGATAAAAACAACTATTTTATTATACATTCTTTTAAAAATTTAGAAGCTTAAGGATTTATTTATATAGCTAATGGTTTGTCTATAATCTTTCTCAACAGTTAAGGGTCCCCAAGTTTTTTACACTTCAGCCAGCCTTTATGGAGCAGTACAAGGCAATCCATGCGGTATGTATTTTGCATTATGTTGAATTTAACCGTCGGCTTTTGCCTACAGCCACCTGCTTTATTTGTGGACAATTTACTGATATTCACTGATTGAAAATGTGGAACAAAATTAACGATTCAAAGATATTTTTACTTTGGAATTACATTTTCATTGTCTGTTTTATTATATAAACAGCACAGTAATTCTGAGGCGCTAAAGACCAGTAAGAAAAGAGACGTCAATCTTCAAAAACTGCATCACATGTACAGCCTTTCATTCACCAACATGGCTTCATCTCAGAGGTAATTAATCTCCTTGAGTTTGTCCAGCATTGAATTAACAAATTCAACCTGTTTCCATTCATCCTCCTTTTAAACCATGAGAAACATCCATGTCGTGGAAAACACCATATAAATCTAAAGAATTATCACACCTGTTATGAGTGTGAGTAAGATTGGAACTTTCTGTGGGCACTGTATATATAGTACTGTGAAAAAACTTAAACAGGTTCCATTGTTGTGCTGGTTTCAAGGTTTTCTTCTTTATGCAGAAACAATTTAGTAGTGATGGTCTAATAAAGTTCTAACCATTTTTTAAGATAAGTTTATCCTTACAGAAAGCAGGCTTTTAGCTTTATGGATCTAAATGACAAGGAACACCGCATGACAATATATCAGTTAAATTCAGTTGGCAAATATGATGAATTAGCTAGACGTCAACACGTCATATTGGTTTCTCATGAATAGTTTACCTGGAGTTGTGATCATATTTTTGAAGATCTTGATCTATGTGAGTTAAAGATTCCTAAAAGACAAATTTGTATAATTAGTAAAAATCAGTACTTGAGTCTTTAGTAAATTGCAGATGCTCATAATATATACCTGTATTGTAATTCCTGATTGTCTTAGGATATATTTTGTACAGAAGTACTCAGTATGTATTTTAAAATTAATTCACATTTTATCCTTGTTTCTCACAAGATACATAAGCAAACACTGGAAAACATTTTAAGTCCTCTATTAAACATGCAAAAAAGTAACTGCTTTATTCTGAAAAAATGCTTAGAATTTTGAATTATGTTTAGTAGCGTTTTGAACAGATTAAAAATATATAATTATATTAAATAAAAGGACATTTTCAAGATAGAATTAAATCAATTGCATGGTGGTTAAGGTTTAGTGAAGTAAGTAAAACAGAATGAGGCCACAGCACAGGATCTCTGTTCCAATGAAGGTGTCTTTTCACTTTGTTTCTCCTGAATTAATTTTTCTTTGTTTGGTGCTAACCGGGGCAGACTGCTGGACAAAAATGGACAGTTTACAGACTTTGAAGAGTGCGGTGTTCATAATCTGGTCAGTAACAAAACAAAACAGGTCAGTTATAATGGAGAAGAAAATAAGAATGGTCATGCAGATGTGTTATTACAACACGTAATTGCCACAAACTAAAAATAAAGTTTTTAAAAAAGAGAAAAGCTCAGTGGAGCAATTAATCATGTTAAGAGTAAAATCAAACATATCTGAAACAAATATTGATGCAAGTTTTCACTTCACATATATTTTAAGGTGTTCATTATCGTTAACCTTTTGTCTTTTAAGATGCGCTATCTGTTCCCCAGTGAATATGAGTTAAGAGCATCATCAGACGAGAGTCCTGTTGGAGAGACCTTTCTTCCTCGCCTGTCTCACCCCTCTGCCAGTGTTGCTGCCTCTGGTGGTCCAGAGCTCCTTGCCAATATCCAGAAGGACACAATACCCCCCAATGAGTAGGACTTCCTTAGGAATTGTTTTTATTGTATGACTAGATCACTTCTTTTCTTGTCAGCTGTGCTTATTATCTTTATTTACCTTAAGTTTCATTCCTTTTTTTGCGCTAGCAGTCCTAAAAATGTTTCTTCTGTCACTTCAAGTGTGTGCTTGCTTCTCTGTTTTCAATATATGATGTTTTCAAGCTGGAGGTGATTTCACGATCAGACAAATTCACTTGCTAAACTGCAGTTATTTACCTTAATACGCTGGGCTAAAGTAAATCTATCAGAAGCTTGTTTTCTTTGATCCCGTATTTGCACGTTTTCAGATGGCCAGTGGCTGAAAGGAGCTCTGTGGAGTCTGAGGTGTCACTTTCCCAGCCTACTCACCTTGTGCCTTTAACCATGGAGGAGCTTTGTCTCAGTAACCCTGTCATGGTAGGTGATGCTCATTGGAGTGACATGAATTGATGTGCAGCTGGATAGGTGTTGTTTTCTGTCCACACCCAAATGTCTGTGATTCTTATTACTTACCTATTATGGCAGTATTGATAGAAGGAAAGGATTACAAGATCTAAAAGTAATGAAGTTACTTAATGAGGTAACAGTGAACATGAATGAATGACCATTAGATATCATCCTTAAGTTGTAAACTCGTCCACATTTCCCTGATTCTGTAAGCCACACTAGTGTAAATATTGGGGGTGGAAGTTTTGAATAAGTACAATTCAATTCAGAAAGTTTTCTTTTTTGCAGGAAGCAAAGCAACCTGGAAAAATCTGGATCAATTATCTCAAGGATAACGCAGATGAATTATCACTGAGAAATACTGTGCTGGACACTGAAAATGACACTCGACACTGGCTGGGTGCTTTCAACAAGCAATGAATTAGCAATGCTGGAAATGGGTGCCATTGTTTCATAACTGCAAGACTGTAGTAATCATAAAGCAAACATTGCTTTGTGTATCGTAGGGCTCAGAATTGTCACGGGAAAAGAACCATTTTGTTCATCTTTAGAGTGTCATGAATTGCAATATTTGTATTATTTTACATGCACTTTATTTACATAAATACAATTCCTTTGCAATCAATGCATGGCAGAAGATACAGCACCTGATAGGCACAAGGTTAACTATAGTTTACTTTATAACTAAATGAAATGAAATGATATGCAAATGATTTTAAGTCCAGCCCAGAGCCACAGTGGCTCATCAGACTGGTTTCTATTGCCTTAAGTGGATTAGAGGCACAAGACTCCACCTCTTTCCCAGCTGGGATGCTGGACCTTCACAGTAAAGCATTTACCAGTGGTATTAGTTCATATATAAGATATGAATTCATGAGAAATTAACTCCTTTAGTGATATACAGTTGCAAATGTATTCACAAAAGTGTACAAGATTGTAATTAAACAGAATGAATGGATACATGTAAATAAATGGATTTTAAACTGAAGTTTTTTTTCAGCATTAGAAATGTAAAAGAAAATTATACAAATGGATGTTACTTTGTCCACTATGGTACTTTCCCAAACAGTATGTTGTAATTCTTTTTCTCTGAGTAACTCTGAGCTTCCATGCAGTTCACTCTGTTATTTTTGTCCAGTGAAGAAAATTTGCCAGCCTTTATTCAGTTCTGAAAAGGAATAATAAAAATAGTAACAGTTAATTTGTTGGCACCATTACTCAGTTAATAACTAAAAGATCTTTTATAAAGAAAACATAGTAGTGTAACTACATAGTTTATAGTATAGACTATATAACCTATGACACTGTAAATTATATAACATGGTAAAATATTAAACGTATTAGAAATGGTAATCTGTACATAAACACGGTATTTCTTTATACAACATTTTAATCCATTATTTAAAAACATGAAGCTAACCTGCAAGATTATCACCATTCTTTATGGCCAGCTGGATGTTCTGGGAAGAAGAGAAGAGACTCATCACAACTTTAATGGAAATGTAAAAACGAATTGCAGTACGTCAGATCCTAATTCATATAACGGGGTGTTTCCAATCGAGGCTCCGGGGGTCCACACAGACTGTCCTCCGCAGGGGAGCACCAGACACAAAGAGGAACTTCTCACCCCGACGTACTGCAGTGTGCAAAATCCGCACTCCCACACTGCTAAACAACGCCGCCAGTCACATCCGGTGCTCTGATCGTGTGATCTTTTCGCATTTTATAATTAAGAAAGGTATCGTTTTTCATTATTTAGGTTAAATCATGACATACGTTTACATTCGGGGGGGCCCTTATTCAAAGCGATTTCTTGTATGGTGGTCTTCTGCAAGAACAGGCAGAATAAACTCTTGCAATGCACAATTCATGATGCGTACAATGCACTTGTTCATATGCACAAAAGTTACCGTGTATTGTTTTGAGAATGGCTAATCGCTTCCCTGCCCGGTGTAGGACGTGCTGGATTCCCAAACGGGACCATTTTCATATTATCTGACTGTACTGTACCTGGTTGACACACTTAACCATGCATTCAACGGCGTGCAGTGATGAACGGATGTTCCGTAACGCTTGCAGCTCTTGCTGTAAATAAAGAAATGTTTTAACATGCGATAAAGACGGTTGATTAGCAATACAAACGTGTGCGTGAAGCTGTTGCAATCAACTTGTAACCTATATGCATCAAAGGGGGAATCGGGTATATCCATACCAACTGTTATTAAACAATAATCCTACCTGCAGCATTTGTATTTCTCTGTCATCTTTGTCGGATGAGTCGCCTGTATTTCGCCGATTTTTAACGGTAGACATTACTTTTCACCGCTTAATCCCTTATTTTATTGTACTTCGTTTCGTCGGTAGAAACAGAAACCCCCACTCTTGAAAGTGCGCGCCGATGAGACACAAGACACAATGAGTCGAACGCAGAGAGCATCGATAGAGAGGCAATGAATGCTGGACCATATTAGATGGATGTTAAGACTTTTTCTAAAATCAAAATTGGAACCTTTTAAGGCCGTAGGATGTTTGTTTTACTGAATTTCTTCATGTAAAATGCGGTTTTGCAACGTGACACCTCATGAGAAACATTTGAAAGCGATATAAGCCTGAATTCAAGTTACAACTGTCCTTGTAACCGTTTACGTTTTACACTGTGGTTGATCGAACGAGACGAGATACAAAATAATAAGAGGTTAAGGTTTAATCGAGGCAACCATCTTACCAAAAACACACAAGATGAGTAAAGAACAATTTCAAATACTTAAGCTCTCGTTAGAATTCAATCTCATTACCCGAGGAAGTTTATACAAATGTTGATAAAAAAGTAAGACAAAATACGTATTTCTCTTTATTCATGGCAGAAAGCAGGTAAACGTGAGTTGAGATAAAACACGATTTTTCATTTAATGCCCAGCATTCGAAGCATTTAGATAAAAAACGCTATCAATATCACATATCACTAATTAAACGTGAGTTTCATTATATTGACTCATCTAAAAATAGTAAAAACAGGATTTTCAAGAACGTTAGTATTTTTGTTATGGAAAGGAGTAAACAATGTGAATCATCAAAATTATTGTCTTATAGTCTTCTTAAGTGTAAACCGTAACAGTCTAATTTGAGGGGTAAAAAAGTTCCCAAGCCATTAGGTTTTCTTTAAGAAGGTTTATAGCGAGAAGCTGGAGGAAGCTTTCGGCAGTAAAACCGTCATGCACGGCGACCCACTCTGAAAAGCCGGAGAACGCTCGCTGGTTGCTTGCTTTTTTTCCTCGTAAGAATTAGCCGTCTTTAAACACGATTTCAGAGGAAAGGACAATAATTGGCATCCCCTATATCCAGCTTATTTATGCAAGCTGTATATCCCAACGTTTTTGTATTTGTGCGTATTATTATAACAATAGTGGTAACCGCGGCATGAAAAATAACTATTGTCTTTGAGTTTGTGGAAAACATGGCACAGGCTACATTAATTATACATAATTTGGTAAAACAACTCCAATTTAATGTGAAAACATTACTGATAAACTTTTCAACAATTTTGAATTTTACGAGGGCTCATGTTATGCATTAAATTATGTTTTTGCCAATATAAATACAAATTATAACGTTTGTCAATATTATTTTGTCTATTTTCCTGTAGATTGTTATTGTTGAATGTTAACGTGGATATTTAGGGTTTCCAACCTAAAAACTAGAGATCTGACAGCTGTAAATTCCTTTAATTTGAAACATGGTTTCTTCACATAGTCGCCAATTTTAATTTAGAAACTTATATCTTATATATAGCTTGGGTGTTGTTAAGTGTTTTAACCCTAGCTATACATAGTTTGTAATAAATATTCGATGCAGTCTTACATTTTACGTAGTATCTTGTTTAAGGAGAACATTATTTTGCTAAAAACCTGTAATCTAAAAATAGTAATCTTGTAAATCCCACAGGCAAAAAGACACACACACACACCATTGTTAAAGCTCAAACATCACTTGGTGAAAATGTGTTCACGATTTATTTAATCTATTAATAAACTAATGAAAGCCGTAGGTTACATGCAGGACAATGGACAAAAGTTTGAAACAGGTTCCAGCTTTTAGGATGTGACCGAGCTCGGGTCTTGCTCAGATGCGTGTCAAAGAGAGATTGTATATATAAATGAAATTGCCAGTGTCTAAATTGCTTTTCAGTTTAAAAAAACAAACATTTTTTTTGTTTTTTGTTTTAATAATGCGAAAAAAGGAAGACATTACAAATAGTTATATTTTAAAAAGTTCAAATGTTAGTGTGGTAGTAGAAAAGAAATAAAATGCATGGTTTGAATTTTAGACAACACTGGGTTCTGCGTATATTTTGTGTTCACAATGAGGGCAACCCACTTTGAATATAAAAGCAGCAAAACTGATGTGGTAAGTATAGTGCAACACTCTCCCCCAGTCTCAGACGCCTATCACAATATTCAGGAAACCGACACTCAGACTGTCCTCTACATAAAAATATTTTTTAACTTTTGAATTCACATAACTGTAGGTTACTTTCCCAACACAGATATTCTTAAAAGAACACATAAGAAACAAGATATAAAATATAAACAGCAATATTGCCACTTTCCTTTCCTTTTTGATACGTTTATAAGGTTAAGCTCTTAACTCTCATTGTGGCTTCCTGGTCTTTCCGTCACAAGGATCCCCACAGAACAGCAGCCTTATTAATTTAAATACCCAGCAAGTCGACCACATTTTCGCATAATCAAAAGCTATGTTACAGATATCACAGTAAGACAATGTGACACATCATCTATCAATTGCTTTGGAAAACTTATCTACATTTTGTCTATCGTTTGGTGTGAAGTCAGGTGTCTATTGCAAATATTAATTCATGTGATTACGTTTTAATGTTTTGTATTTAAATATACAAAACCGGATAACCTGTTTTATACTCTTAAGCTGTTAATGGTTTTTGATAGGTTTACTTTAATTGTGTCAATATCCAAAACGCATATCTAGAAATGAAATTATTCTAAACAATTATAGGCTATAATGTGAAGAAGTAAAGTTTGATCATGTGTGCTTTTTACAGGCCCATGCAGTTTATTACATTTCGAATAATATGTGTGCAGGTTATTTTTATATTGCTGTAAATACAAAGACTGCAGAAAAATCAGATTGTTTTAATAATCCCTTTTAGACATAACTATAAACGCACTTAATTTCATTTTATTCAGATGTATCTATATGAATACCGGTTCATTTCCTCCTCGCAGGTGTCGGCTTTGATATAGGTGTAAATATTTACAGATTTTAGTAGCTCTATTTAAATTTGCTAGGCAATCGCCTTCAGACGCGACTTTTCTTCTTGACTGATATGGCCGCATCCGACCAATTGCCGAGAGAGACTTGCACATCAAAGCCATGCCCAACCAACCAGCTGCCTTCTGAGATGTTTTCTGGTGTGATGAGGAACGTTTGGGCTATTTATTGGCAGCCAGTGAACGTAATGACTTTCAGTCACCACTTCGAAGTCCTTTGTAATCTATGGGATTGTAATTGCAACACTGACTAAAGACATCCGAAGGCCACAGAAAGTTTTATTTATTGAAAGTCGGGAAAGTTTGGTCACAATGACCTCAAGTTCAACAGAGAGCGCAGGGAAGAATCTTCAGTACAGAGTTGACCATCTTCTGAGCGCGGTGGAGCATGAGCTGCAAGCTGGCAGCGAGAAAGGAGATCCGACGGAAAGAGATCTTAAAGTTAGTTTGGACGAAAATGAACTATGGCTCAAGTTCAAAGAACTCACTAACGAGATGATAGTAACCAAAAACGGAAGGTAGGTTTCTTGTGGGGTTTTTAAAACCCATGCTTCACCAAAGTAATAAGAAAATGGATGGCGCGTTTATTGCTAAGCAGCGTTAACACGGGCAATTTTGCTTGAATAAACATGTAATCGATTATTTTTGCAGAGATATATAATAAAACAAGAAGGAAGGGATCAAAAGAATGTTCATTCTGTATCTATCAACAATGTTCCTTGTTATTTGTGGGCAACCACAAAGAAGAATGAACATGCTGTCATGAACACCAATAATTTGAACATTTTTTAAAATAATTTCACATACATAGATTGATGTGTAGAAAAACTTTAATGGATGTGAAATTAGAGGATGTGTGTTTATTTGCTGCGGTGATTAAGCGGTTGAAGTGACCGAGTCCTTGCCTGTCTGTCCAATCCAGGAGGATGTTTCCCGTGCTGAAGGTGAATGTGTCGGGTCTGGACCCCAATGCTATGTATTCTTTCCTGCTGGACTTTGTGGCTGCAGACAACCACCGATGGAAATACGTGAATGGGGAGTGGGTTCCTGGGGGGAAGCCAGAGCCGCAGGCTCCCAGCTGTGTCTACATCCACCCAGACTCCCCCAACTTCGGGGCACACTGGATGAAAGCTCCTGTCTCCTTCAGTAAAGTCAAGCTGACAAACAAACTCAATGGAGGTGGACAAGTAAGTACAGTTCTTAAAAGAAAGTGTGAAATTGTGTATCCCATTTCGCCAAACAATGGTGTTTTTTAGTGAGAGTAATTCAACGGGGAGCTCCACCTTTCAGCTGCAAGCCTGAATTGTTTTTTTTTTGTCTTCTTAATATTGTGAGTCTTCTAAACATATATCATGTACTTCCCTGCAGATAATGCTAAACTCTCTCCACAAGTATGAGCCCAGGATTCACATCGTTAGAGTCGGAGGGCCCCAGCGCATGATCACCAGTCACTCCTTCCCGGAAACCCAGTTCATTGCAGTAACAGCGTACCAGAATGAAGAGGTGAGAACACAGTTCTCCTGGAGTCGCGTGCCTTTAACCTGAAGGTCAAATTAAAAAAGGTGTTTGACTGTTTTTTTTTTAAAATAGCCCTCACAGAAAGCCATCAAGTTTCTATGGCTTTGTCATCTTTAGGAGCACTTCATGCTTTTTAAATGTGGAAAAGTGGAAGACATTTGTTTAATTGCACTACTCAGTAACCTGTGTCACAAATTTGCCATGATTTTATAGGTCACAGAAACAGCATGGAAGAAATGTAAAAATATTTGCACTGAAGGCGATGAAATATTTCTATTTTGCTGCCGCATCCGAAGTCTGGTGTTATTAGTCCAATGTCTGACCTTTCTGTTCTTTGCAGATCACGTCTCTCAAAATTAAATACAACCCATTTGCAAAGGCTTTCCTGGATGCAAAAGAACGGTACAATTATTATTTTTTTTCATTATTAAATAACAATTCTTGTTGTACAACCTTGTTGCTTTATTTTCTTATTCCTTAACTGTTTCTCACTGTATCACTCTGTCTGTAGGAGTGATCACAAAGATATTCTGGATGATGTTGGGGACAATCAGCAGTCAGGATATTCACAAAGTAAGTCACAGGAAATAGAGAATTTATTTTAATATGTAAATATCACAAACTCTCTCATAATGTCATCAAGTAGTTTAAATTCTTCTTAACCATAATTATAGTTAAACATTTTTTTGTTGGAGAAGTTGTATTAAGAACTTACACTTTATAATAGAGAAATTATTCGTGTATGTTGATTACCAGAAGAGTGAATGTTTTTTTTACAGACTTGTACCTTTTAATTGTGTACATGGAAAATTATGAAAGATCTACATGTGATAAACCTCTAAATTCTGCAGAAATAATAAAAATGTATTCCAGCGCTTATAGTATATAACACAGACAATGATTAGCGACCAGTGCAATTACTCCAGAAATGGGAAATTTATAAATATGACACTAGAAGAGGCAATGGATAAAAGTACTGCTTAAAAATGTATTCTGATTAAACAATCCTTTACATTAAATACACGCATTGTACTTGCAGTGACAGCAGTGGAGCGCAGTTTTTGCAGACTTGAAATGGTCTTCTTCCCTCCCTCTCTGCCCAGTAGGTGGGTGGTTCATTCCAGGAACAGGATCTCTGTGCCCCCCGGCGAACCCTCACCCACAGTTTGGAAACCCGCTCACCCTGTCCTCCCCACATGGCTGCGATCGTTATTCCACCCTGAGGAATCACCGCTCGGCCCCGTACCCCAGCCCCTACGCTCACCGCAACAACTCCCCCAGTAAGTCTGAGACAGTGCTCAGAGAGACAGCCCTCTCCCTTCAGCACAAACCACAAAATCCTGCAAGCACATCTTAGAATGTCTTGCATTCCAGCCTCCTTTGTGTGAGTCTCTGAGGTCATAAACAACACAGCTTCGACTTGGGGTCAGACACACACTCCTTGCCCCACAAGACGAGGTGTGTACTATCAAGTGGTGTGTTCTTTAAATGCTGGTCTTGTGGACTACACACTGTACAGTCTGTCACTTTTTGGGGAGGTTCTTGGCATTGTTTGATTCTATCTGCCATTATTCTACTCGCATGCAAAAAAACCAAATGTACTTAAATTACAAAAGTACGTCAAGCACATGGTGGAATAAGACTTTCTTATTCTTGAATTAACTAGAAAACAGACTCTGGAAGTCTGAATATATACAAAGCCAAGGCCACGCTAGCCTCCACCTGTTGGGAGGGGGCACAAAATGGGTTTCAAAAATAGGAGAGGTGCCCAAAGACGGTTACATGATCCCTGTGTTTTTCCCATGTTTTTGTCATCTTTGTTTTTTGCTTTTGGAATGGCAATGAGGCTAGAGCATTTCTGGTTTTAATTTAGCCATAATTTTAGGGAGGTGGCCTCCACCCTTAGCCTCATCACCACTGGCCCAGAGACTGTCCAAGCTCACTAAACTCTGTTTAAGGACACAACTTGCCAGCCAGTTGGGATGTTCCTCACATAATGAATTAAATTCCAATTTAATTGATCAAGATGTGCAGTATTGTTATAAGCATCAGGTATCATCAGGTTGGCACTCTTTTACATTTTACAGCAGGCTACACAGACAACTCCTCGGCCTGTCTCTCCATGCTTCCAGCCCATGACAACTGGTCCGGCCTCCAGGTGCCCACTCACTCCAGCATGCTGCCTATGGCCCACAGTACCAGCCCTTCTACCAGTTCCAGGTCTGTTTGGCTGAGCGTCACACCTCCCAGGCCTGCAGAGTGCTCTCCTGCTGTCCACCCCCACGCTAACAGGCCTTTCACTGGCTGTTTAATTGACCCCGTTTAGATTTTTATTACACATCCTTTTTAATTAAGATGGCACTAGTTGTAGACTTGCAGGAAATGGATTGTTTTGTTGTTGTTTTTTACCTAGAGTTGTATTTCTTTATTAGCTGTGAACACTATAATTAGAGCAAGTGTACCAAAAAAGGCAACATCTTCATTTAATTTCACTAATGGCAGAATATTGAAATCTTATGTAGTATTAAACAAATACTCTATCAGCAGTAAGAAAAATATGTAAAAATCCAGGTTTGTGCAGTGTACTTCATCAGTAAGTTATGAAGTACTTGGGAGTATGTTAATTGGTTTTATTTTCTCTTTGTCACAACTATCCACTGGACAGAACCTCAGTTTTGGAAAAAAATATTTGAAATATTCTTGTACCCTAAATAGTTTTGTACTGTATAAGACTCCACTCTTTTGAAAACCACTGTAGTTTATAGTCTTAAACAGAAAGTTTTCCACCCTCCCCTTCAAAGTTTGTCACTAATTTATGGCCTGTAATAAACTCTGATTGTTCAACTTTTGTCTATTTGCCAATGATATCTTCTAAGTTAATTGAACCCTTGTAGTAGTCAAGATTTCTAGTGAAATTAACTAACTTAAGTTATGTGTTTTGAATACAGATTTTTCTGAAGCTCTCTAGAAGCCTATGGAGCCTATCTTAATTACTACTTTCTGGGCCAAATGAGTGTTCAGTTCCCTTAGTCAATATCACTGTCAGATGAAGTGTAGTTAAACAAACAGTATTTGCTACCCTTACTAGTGAATAATATGGATGGAGATCCAGAGACTTGCTTATGTCTGTCACTGTCGGTGGCTGTTCTTGGTTTTTCCTTGATGGATGCTTTTCGGTTTTATACTTAGTTTCTGATGAACGTCTTTGTTTCTCTTTTCCTTCACAGCCAGTATCCCAGTCTGTGGTCGGTCAGTAACAGCACCATCACCCCGGTGTCCCAGCCCGGAAACATGTCCAACGGGCTGGGCTCCCAGTTCCTCCGCGGCTCAACGGCACACTATCCGTCTCTCTCCCACCCTGTCGCAGCGCCCTCTGCTGGCTCACCTCTGTATGACAGCGCGGCCCCCGCGGAGGTGCACGACCCTCAGTACGACACCTCGCCACACGCCCGGCTACCCCCTTCGTGGGCCTCTGTCACTCCGCCCTCGCTGTAGCCCAGTGGCCTCGGGCGCGTCGCTCGGCTCCCTTCCACAGCCACAATCCAACACTTTTTTTTTTTTTACAGCTGCATCAACAAGTGAGTTTTTTTATTCAAATTCACATCAGGCTTGAGGCAAATGATCATCCCATAAAGGGAAAATAGTGCAACATATTATGCTCTTAGTTTAAATTATTTAATATGAAACATTTATGCAAGTGATAGAAATGTGTAAATAGTCTGTGTATTATTAAAAAAATAATTTCACTGTATGAAGACGGGGACGAATTAAATCGCATCTATGATGCAGTTTGTTTGGTTTCAAGCACAGGCATGCTTCTGGACTACACAAATGTGCTGCCTCTTTTCTACTGTGGCATGATATTACCTGTAGCTTTCCCTCTCTGCGTAGTGAACGCCTAACAGATGAGACAGACCAAACAGCCGTGTCTGTCTTGTGTGTCTTGTGTGGTGTAGAAACAGAAATATCTGCTAGGAGCACCTTGAGAAAACTGCTAATGTCTAAATGGAATGGAGATTTTTCCTTTTAAACTTTTCATACTTAAAGAATTTGCCTTTTTTTAACTAAAAGTTTAGGACGTCTTTACAAGCCTCGATGTGGCAATTTTTGTGTTCTTGGGTATTTTTTTCCTTGTGTGCAAACTGTATATACTTTTCATTCTCTTGTCTATATTGTAAATACTGATAAAATTGTGTTTATTATTGTTACCTCACATCTGGGGTTCACCGTGTAAATGTCCTATATTTGAAACTGGAGTTTGAAACACAGAAATTGGAACTGTATTTGCAATGTATTTGCATACTAATGTGAAGTAAAACATTACACCTTTGCTACAATCTTTGTGTATCACTGTATGGTTTGGAAATTAAAATTCCTTAATATTCCTAAAGGTATTTTTGTTTTTTCCAAGGAATGTTAGGGACTATTGTACAGAGGAGAATGGCATGTAAACCCTTGATTAACAACAAAAAATGTAAATATCACATAATGAGAAATTACATTTGAGATCATCCATAGGTTGTGCACTATGGAGCAGGAGCAGAAGAGTGATTTATCCTTTGCGTGTCACAGGGTGCCAGAGGGATCGTGTTGTCTGAAGCCATTAGGGCTGTATTTGAAGCGAAGGTGCTGGGGTCACAGCTGGTTCATTTGCAAATGGCTGAGCTGGCACAAAGTGCACATGGGCTCTGTTTAACTCATCTGGAGGGGAATGTTCACTTCAGTCCTTCAGTGATAGCCCGCCAGACATCATCTACCCCAAACAGCCACCCGGTTTTAGGGAAGTTTGTTTCTGTGTGGCACGTCAAAATCAGAGGTATTTAGACCCCCCCCCAAAAGAGGGAGAGTTGAAATTTCTTCTGCAAATTTAAATGAAGGGTCACCATGGTGATGATGTCACTTAATTTTTCTTGCTCTCCAAAATAAGTTTGCTGACATCTAACACGACTGCTCCTGCACTCAGCAGGCTGTTGCTTTCTGGTCCATCTTCCTCTTGTAACTCCTCTTTCCTTTGTCCTTTGTACAGAGGGAGATGTACTGTGTGTTTTTTTCCCATACATTTCTTAAACATGTGGCCAACATTTTACTGCCTTTTTGACAGAAGTAGAGAAGAAACTGCTTTTGATTCAGGCTGGAAATGTGTATTGTTTTCTATGTAAATGGTTGCTCTCTCCGAATAAGCGATTGTGGGTTAAATAGAAACCAAATTCAAGCAACACAGGTTGTTGGGTTATTTATGAACGGGATTATTTCTCTGTATCCTGTGTTCAAATGCTCTACCGAACTGAGAACACGCATTACACAAGATGTTTTTGTGGGACAGCAGATTAATCGCTTTCTAAATACCTGAAAACTGCACCTCCTGCGCTGTACCTCCGTCTGTGCTAATGGTTAGCGGAATACTGCTTGAACATACACCACGTTCATTTTTGTTTTCATTCTCTTACGCCAGATTTATCGTGTTTTGCTTTTTTATTTCGTGTCTTTAAGGGTATTCTGTATTCATGAGGAACCTCACTCGGTTTGAATTTGAATATCCCTGAAAGTTAACACTTCATCGAAAGCTACACAACAAAATGGAACAGGAGCATTAGCATTAGAGTAATTTTTAGAAACATTTTGTGAACCGAGTACATTGATCAATAATTGTGTCCCATTTTGCTTGCAGCATTCCTTGAGAAGTCTCGGGATCCAGACAAGGCTCTTTTAAGGAGGATATTTTTCACATGCTAAAAAAAATCGGGGTTATTCCTACAGACCGGCGGACCCTGCAGTTTTAATTATATGAAAAACTACTTGTTTGCAGAGCTATCCATCCATAACATTTCTGTCATGGGTCTGCACTTTTTTCTTTGCTGGTTACTGCTGGACCCTGGCTTAGAAAGTCCAGCACTGTGTACTTTCTTCTTATGAGCAAATTCTGCTACATAGGTGAGGAATTGCATCCATCTCTGTTGGCCAAGGTCCCAGGGGCGACTCTGCGACCAGGGGAAACTGAATGAACTCCTGACAAGACTCTTCAGGGCCAGACAGGGCGAAAAACTAGCGCAATTAACCTCCCGAGACCCACCTGTTAGAAAATTTTAATTCACACATTTACGACAAAGACAGATGCCTTTTAAATTAATAATGAACACATTTCGCAACGCTGCCTCATGAGCAGTGACGGTTAGTCGTGTGCGGTCATTTTACCACGGTTGGAAAAAAATATTTTTTTTTTTTGTCATTTGTATTTTCGGTCTTCGTTTTCTTCCAAGGACTCCGCATTTCAAAAAAGAGCCCTGAGAGGGATCACAACAGCGATCCTTGGGTACAACACAAATAATGTGTAGAATAATCGAACAAAGCACGGCACATTTTTACGCAGTGCAGATTTAAACTTGGATTTCTAGCGTTAGTTTTAGTTTTCTATGAGGCTGATGTCACAACACAATGTCGGGTTTGGGAAAAATCACAGACGCCTTTCTTTGATCGAGCACAAAAATGTCTTTTGCTTATTGAGGGGGTTTAGCAGTCAAGTTAGAAACGCTGCGTCGCGGTGTATCCAGATTTACCGCAGCCTGTGTCTCCTAATTGCTGGGGTATCAGCGGCAGGGTATGGGGTTTCGGCTCCGGGTTGGAAGTGCTTTTCAAACTGAAATCAGGTGTGAAGCTCTTCACTTGTTATTTAACGATAGACGGGGCTAAACGTCTCGAAATGTCACTGGAGCCAAACGGGACTTTTTTGTTTACAAAGTTCAGCTTCTTACGTAAAACAACGTACAAAGTTTAACTTTAAGATTGGGACTTGTACAACTCATAAAGATGAAATACATATAAAAAAGTAATTTGAAAGGCAAATAGGATCTTATTTAGAACCTAAAAAATTTAGGTTATTATTCAGAACCTAAGAACTTTCCTGAAAAAGCACAGGCGTCTTCAAATTATTCAGCGTAATATTTTTCAGTCTTTTTAAGATACAACCACCCTCTTTATACAAAAGCATATGCTTAACGAAATCTTGTTAACAGCAAGACAATAAATCACAACATCAATATCTTCCCGAGGCCACATAGGAAAGAGCAGTGATTCGGACACTGTGTTTAAGTGACGCGATGTTACTTCTAATCAGGACTATTTTATTCTAAAACTTCACATCCTTATTTATAATAACAAATCAAATGTAATAATATACACTCCATATACTTTTTTTTAACATGTACACATTCACTGAAAATCCTAGATGATAGAACTCTCAACATTGCGGCTTTTAATCACTAATGAGAAAAGGTTACAAACAGAAAGTTTTCTAACCTGCCTCGATGTAACTAGTTGTTCGTCGAGATTGTCCGCAGTAAAAAGTCATTTTCCTTATCGCATTTGTAAAGACGTTGATCGCCATCTAGTGGAAAGAAAACCTGTATAAACAAGTGAAATAGTTGTGCGATTAATGCTGAGATACTGCGGTGAATGTGAGGACACACAACAAATACCTGCGTATATCCTGGGTTATTTTTACCTTCAGATTGTTTCCCTGCCCGGTATACAAATTATCTCTGCTGAAATACTTTTGCCTTCAGGAAAAAAAATAATAATTGGGGGTCTTTATTCGCGTATAAATGACCTGTATGAGCTAATATGGACTCCTTGAGTACTGAAGTCTTTTTACCTTCAGGAGCTCTTCTCTGAAATATTTGGCATCCCTCCAGGGAAAAAAAAAACGTGGGACCTTTGATTAGAGCAATTATTTGTATAGGTATATTGTTATACAGTTTTCCCCTGTAATTGACGTCTTATCGTTTTCAGTCATGTAATTTTTATAAAGTATGATTCCATGGTAACGAAGTGTATTCTTTCTTTTCCAGCGGGTTGGATAGCACATATCCTGGTGATACGGAATTTGTCATTAACGATTGGACAGGCGAAGGACGAACGCAATCTGATTTTGCACAATACATTTCAACCGAATCTCATCTCTTTTTTAAGTGTAGGTTACAGGCGAGGTTGAAATCTAGAGAGTCGAAGATTTTATATCATGAAGTGCTGCGATTTTACCACCTTCAAGAGTAGTCCAGAGTAAAAAGCATCATGTAATGCATTTTATATCTATATCACGTACACGAAGCCGAAAACATCGAAGTGTTTCCTCTGATTCGTGTGCAGTATTGGCGTTTTCTAAGCTCACAGCAGGTGGCGCAAGATCTCAGAACCTCTCAAATCTGCCAAACTGCCCCGCACAAGAGGGTTGGTTCCCCGATTAAGTAATTGATCATGTATTTTGAAATGTGTAGCTTTAAGTACAAATAGAAAATAGAAATAGAGTTATCTGTTCTCTTCTTGGATTTTTAAAGCACTTTGCACTGCCAGAATGTCTATACCTGTACTTAAAAAAGTGATGTTTAATATGATGAGTAGAGCGAAAATGATGGAAAAACGCCTGTCCCCGTTGCTACTAACTCTTCTAACATCTTGGAAGGACGATAGGCCAGCAATTGTCTGTCTCCTTCATCAAGTGCCAATTGTTTTCAGACAATGAACTCCTTTTCAGTTCATTTGATTCATCTCACGGGGACAGCTGAGTGGTGCCGTAGTTAGTTAGCTGTGCTGCCAGGCAGTGTTTGGGGTCCTGGGCTCAATTCCTGGGGTGCTGTCTGTGTGGAGTTTGTATATTTGCCCTCTAGGTTTATGTTGGTGTCCTCTAGGTGCTCTGGGTCCTCTAGGTGCTGTGTTCCGCCCCACAGTCCAGGCGGACTGGTAGGTTAACTGGCGTCTGGAAACAATGGCCCCTGGTGTGTGGAGTGTGTACCCTGCGGTGGACTATTGTCTCGTCCCGGGAGTATCGTGTTCGCACACATTGCTTAGGCGAATAGGCTCTGGCTTCTCCCACAACCCGTACTGGATACAATGGTCAGATACTGGATGGATGGTCAATCTACTCGCGTGCAGGAAATCTAGAGAAGACGTGGAGCTCCCCACCACCTTGCCAAGGGGACAAGGAGGAAATGACTTGCCACATCCCTCACATGGTTACAACAGAGCGTACTGTTTTGCGAACTAGATACCACACAATGGGAAATGCTGTTTTCAACTCAAGTTACATAATGAGAATAAGAAGGTAGGATACCAGAAGAAGAGGCTGCAGTTTATTCTGCTGATGACTGACTGACAGTCCGTGTTGCTGAATACCAGGTGAAGGACAGGCTACCACTTCTGATGCGGAAAAGCAGCCTTTTGTTATTGTGTAAGAAATCGACGCAGTAAGGACAGGGAACATTCTTAGCTC